GAATATCATACCCGATTTGTATTGTATTGTATTGTATTTTTAAAATTATTCCGGTCATTTGGCTGGTCATTTGACACAAAAAAAAATGACCGGTCAATTCCACAACGCTAGTCTTAAGGTGTGTGTACACTACAGACTTTTCACGTAGATTTGCCCTCAACAGGGCTGTCTAGATTCAAATCCCCACAAAAATATCGACTCTATTTAGTTTTCCGAACGACGCAAAGCAAAATATAAATAAATATAAATTTCATTGTATTTTTAAAATTATTTCGATTATTTCACTGGTCAATTGACAGAAAAAAGTTGGCCGGTCAATTCCACAACGCTAGTCTTAACGCACAATATAAATAAATATAAATTTCATTGTATTTTTAAAATTATTTCGGTCATCTGACTAGTCAATTGACAGAAAAAAATTGACCGGTCAATTCCACAACGCTAGTCTTAAGGTATGTGTACACTGCAGACTTTTCACGTAGATTTGTCCACGCCAGGGCTGTCTAGATTCAAATCTTTAAATAAAATACACCTGTGCGAGCACTCTACCTAGAGTTAGGCTATGATCTGGCTAGATCATGATCGTCTAACGAGAGCGCCGGTGGACACAGTTCGTGGAATGACTTGTGAGATTATTCTTGGTCTATATGTTGGGTGAAATAGATACATTTACTCTAGGTAGAGCGTATAATTTAATGTTGTAAAATGTTTCAGTTTATATTTTGTGGTACATAAAATAAATGCAAATAATTATTTATTGCGTAATAGTAGTTGGAGTTCTTAGCTGTTTCCAAGTATCTTAAAGTAACGGTAAGTCTTTCAGATGGTAAAATCGCTAATCATAGGTATCTTGTTTTTTAATCAGCGACTCAAGTACAAATAAATCGAAATCAGTGAAACTCTCAGTACACTCCCGATCTCGCACAATACACACTTAACAGACAGGAATCGAATAGATTCATTTTCAGTACGTCTACATAAACGCTGGCTAGCAAAAAAATGTATACAATTTACACGACCAATAGATACTATCTCGCTAGAGTAAGCTAAATCTAGCTAGTCTTGTACAGTGTACACGTAAGTTTACATCGGGAAAGCACGAAGAAGAAATTCTTGATGTATTCTGGATGGCGCATGTTATGCGCAAAGAGTACAATTATTTTCACTGAGTGATGTGTGACGTGACAAGAACAAACGTCAAAATGCCATGGCTAAAATCTACCAAAAAGATGCGATCGCTCCCAAACCTGTGACTAAAGTACCGGACGTCTTAAAGCAACACTTTCCGCACGCTTGATCCGTACATAATTGAATATTTCGGGGTAGGGAGTTAGAAGAGTATATTTTTGTACAAGCAATTAATTGTGCCCCCCGTGTTTCCACGGGTGTCGGCTTATTTTAGACGGAGAAAAATAAATACCCGATTACCTACAGCGATAAACATTAACTGGCGCGCTTTTTGTTCTGGCAATCTGGAAACCAGACGTCGAGAGCGTAAAACGTAAATAAGGGTGAAACGCGGAAAGCCAGAATCTGCGGAATACCGAAGGGCGGTAAATTAAAGGCACGCGCCGCGTCTGAGGGGTTGATTATAAAAGAGGGGGTTTTGTTTAAAAGGAGACTGGCGTTTCCTGTCTGAGATGTTTTCTCGGGGGGAGCTCGAGCGCATTGACGTCAAATATCCGGCTCAACTTAACGGGATCCTTCCCGATTCTTTAGGACAGTAGGCCGTTATCGCTTACCCTTCGCCCCACCAAGATTGAATACTATAAGAGTAGAATCATATGATTCCCCCTTAAGAGTAAGGGTTTCTCTTCCGCTTTGTTCAAAAAATTACTTGGTTATGTTTTCGGACCTTGTGTAGTAATTGAAGTTGAAGTTGTAGAGTGTCAGTTCCATTATTATTTTGGTTAATTTATTAATACCCCGAAAAACAAGCGAAATATGTAAAAAAAGAACATAAACAAGCCTCAAAAAAATATCAAAAGATAAAAATGTCAGATTTAAAAAAAATATGTTGGAAGGACCGACTAGAAAGTGTTACGACCGTTTTTATTCTTTGCTTATGAAATGATCTAAGAGGAGATGAAGAATGTTATGTTTTGCTTCTTCTTCTTCTTCTTTAAGTGCCGTCTTCGTTGCGAAGGTTGGCAATCATCAGTGCTATTCGTATTCGTGACACAGCCGACCGAAATAGTTGGTTTGTGGTGCACCCGAACCAGTCACGTAAGTTTCTCATCCATGAGTGACGCCTTCTTCCTACACTTCTCTTTCCTTGAATTTTTCCTTGTAATATCAGTTGGAGTAGTTGGTACTTTTCTCCTCTCATGACGTGTCCAAGGTACTGAAGTTTACGCTTTTTTACCGTAATGATAATTTCTTTTTCCTTTTTTATTCTTTTCAGGATTTCCATGTTGGTCACTTTATCGGTCCATTTTACCTTAAGTATTCTACGGTACAACCACATTTCGAACGCCTCCAGTTTCCTTATGTCCAGTTTCTTCAGAGTCCAAGCCTCTACACCATAGTACAGTACCGACAAAATATAGCATCGCATCATTCTGATTTTTAAATCCAAGCTGAGATCGCTGCCACAGAGCACTCTTTTCATTTTCACAAATGTTGTTCTCGCCTGTCCTATTCTACTTTTGATTTCTTCAGAGCAGTCGTTATTTTTATTTACAATTGTACCTAAGTTTTTATAACTGTCAACTTTTTCTATGGAGTGGTTATTTATATGAATTTGTGAATTGTTTTGTGCTGTTTTTGATATTATCATAAATTTTGTCTTTTTTACGTTTAGTGACAGTTCGAACTCTTCACTCGATGTATTAACTTTGTCTACTGCAATCTGTAATTCGTTTAGGTTGGTAGCTATCAGGATCGTATCATCCGCATATCTTATATTGTTGATAGGCACTCCGTTAATTTTTAGTCCTTTCGTTTCATCGTCCAATGCTCGTTTCATTATTTCCTCTGAGTAAAGGTTAAATAACATCGGTGATAGCACGCATATATATATATATATATATATATATATATATATATATATATATATATATATATATATATATATATATATATATATATATATATATCCCTGAATCTTGAAAACAAAGCGTTTCCGAGCAACGCCCTGTTTATTAACTGTCGGTACGTCATTGTCGGAGAACTACTGAGGGATAACGCACTCTCGCGTAAATTTATTCCGATAAAACAAAAATAGACTAAGGATTTCCCGGAAAACAGTACGGTCTCAATACGAGGACAAACCCGCCTGGCTACGCTATGCTTTACCCGCACAGGTGTACCGTTACGCCACCCCCTCAGAGTCTCGCGGTTCGACCCCGGACGCCCGCCAATGTCGGCCCGTGTCGCTGAATTAGCGGCACGAGGGAGTCCGTAATACTATACGGCGAAAACTCGACAAAAGAAACCGATATTTTTACGAAAAACCGATGTTCGGTTCTTTGGTTCTAAATCTCTGAAATCGGTTTACCCCTTTTAATTAAATTATATATTTTCACATTTGATAAAGACAAGGTGTTGTCGAAACAACTGTCACGTGAAAATATATAATTTCGTGCAAATCTTATCTTTTAGATCTTATTTATTTTGTTAAATGGATTTTCATTAAGTAAAAGTTCAGTTCAGCTCAGTTCAATTACCCCTTTTTTAAAATGTGCCTATCCGCAGCTAGAGTTAAAACTAGCCCCCCCGACAAATTCCCTGTAAGCAAATTGATTCCCTCGCCGTTGCACCCTTTATCAAGCATCCTATAATAATTTGCATAATAAAATTGCCATTTTCGTTGTCTTATAGATACCGGTCTGATCGAATATCGAAACTAAAGCACGTAAAACCACGACACATTAAGCTATTGATCAATGACCGATAATTTAAAACTCCTTAAAATTTTTGAAAATCGACGTAGTTCTGCTACAAACTTAACTATATCTTGCCTGAACCATCCGGAGTTTTTCAAACCGACCAAGATAAAACGCACTACCCATATTAAACCTTTATTTTTGCACAGAATGAAAATGCCCGAAAGAAAAAAGATTATTAATTCAATCAGTGACTCACTCGACAGGCGTATAACTCTCGCAAGCTTGATCGCTTGCATTTTAATTAGTCGTTTTTATATCGTCAATTGGACGCTAAAAATTTATCGATGAAAACTGGCTTTTACAACGGAAGAATGCCTGAAGGCGCGCTTGAATTTCGTAACAATCGTAGAGCACGCCGCTCTTGAGGAAGAAAAAGCTTCGAACAGCTACGGTTTGACACAGTTTACCTGTGGCGCGTTCTCCATTTTGTTTGTTTAATAAAGACCTGATACGGCGGCCTGTTATGCCCTTTAACGATTAAATGTTCGAGAAAACGAACTACCGGCGATCGAAAAGACGGGCATTTTTTTTTACTGAAAATTTAATCGGCAAGAATGGTCAACGCCCATCACGTCAACGATCGCCACGGCCTACCTGTAATTTGTTGTTATTGTTATCGTGCGGCGGTGTCGTATCTGCCTCTGGCACCAGCGTCTCCGTTATCGGTACACGAATTTTATCTCAATGTTCTCACATTACAGACGGCGCGTCGCGATCCGATGCGTCAGTTCCGATTTCTCTCGTCCTTTATGGCCAAAAACATTGCAACGAATATCCGCACACACGCAGGTTAAGTCGAATGAGATTACAACAAACACGATACTACAGTCCCTCCACGCGTAACGGTCAATTCTTGACTGGTTTCGTTTCGAGCCAAAGTGGCAACGGTGGGAAATTACGCCACGGACCGCTAAAATTTCCTGTCCTTTTGGCAGTTTTTTTTTCCTTTTAAGCCCACCGCTGATTCTTCGCTTGGCGCTTAAAAATAAATCTGCCAGTGAATAACAGCGATGCCGATGGTAAATTTTTTGATTCAAACTTTCGTCAGAAACCGATTTCATGGTCTGTGTTCTGCTTGCCCGCATTAATCACTAGCCCATTACACTAACCGCACATGCCGTGGTCGGAAAATGTGACGTTTGACACGGTAACACATTTTCCGGAAAAAAATCAATATTTCTTCCGCTTGGCCCGCTGCCGAACTTTAAAATTATAAAACTAGCGGCAGTCGAGTCCGAAAATGATATGGATGGTCCAACTTTGGCTGTACCGGAGTTGCCTTACGCTGTACCTTGTCGGCACCGTTTTAAGCGAATTAGGTAATCCTTATCAAATACTGGGCGTCCATCGTAAGGCCTCGCAGCAAGAGATACGCCAAGCGTACAAGCAGCTTGTCAAAGAATGGCACCCCGATAAATCCAAAGAATTAGACGCCGAGTCGCGTTTCGTCGAGATCAAACAAGCATACGAGCTCCTGTCGGACTCGGATCGAAGGAGACTTTACGACCAACAAGGTATTACGGACGAGGATGCCCACAAAAAACCCGAAAGATCCACGTTCTTCACATCGAGCCCTTTAGACGACTTATTCTCACATCACGGGGGATATTTCAACTTCCAAGAAAATGACATTGTTTTCTTCCACAAGTTGTCGATTACTACTCGGCAGTACGACAAAATTGTGGTACCGAAGAGTGAAAAGACTCCTCACCTCATCTACTTCTATTCGGATTTTTGCTTCCCGTGCCTGCAAACTGCCCCATACTGCCGTAAACTGCTCGAATATTTGGAACCATTAGGGATTAATTTCGTCACAGTGCATTCAGGCCGCGAACCTAACCTCAACCGGCGCCTTAGTATCCATGCACTGCCTTGTTTGGTACTTCTGTTAGATGGTAATGTTTATGTGTACAAAGAAACCCTCACGAGTGTGCCAAAGATTGTGGCATTTATCAAGAGCAAACTGCCATATAAGTTAGTGCCGAGGATCAATAAGGGTGATTTAGACACCTTCCTTGATGGTTGGAAGGATAATCGAGTGCGCGGTTTGATCTTCGAGCCGCGGCCGAATTTGAGATTACGATACCTCATCGCGGCTTACCATTTTAGACATCGGGTGGCGTTTGCGTTCGTCGATTCAGACGAAATCCGGCTCAAGTACGGCGTCCCGCGCGATATGGACACCGTGATGTTGTTCAATGAGAACACCAGTACCCCTGTGGCTAAAGTTACCTTGCCTGACATACCGATGATCCGGCTGCACGATGTCATAGTATCAAATCAGTACCTGGCTTTGCCTAGGTTGTCATCGCAGCGAGTCCTAGAAGCGCTCTGTCCTTGCGAATGGCACAAGCCGCGAAAAAGGCTGTGTGTTGTACTGGTGACTGAGGACACACCTAACCATGACCCACACAGGGACTCATTTCGCCAGTTTGCCCAAAAGTAAGTTTGCATTAAGATTGCCTGCTTTTCGATTATTGCTAGTTTTGGTTAGTATTAGTTGTTTTCACTTTTTTATTTGTTATAAGGTGAGAAAAAATAACTATGTGCTTAGAATTTGCATAAAATAATGCCTTTTGCAGGGACAAATTGTTTCACACTCCCAATTTTATACTTCTTAAATCAAGTTCAGTCCTCGAGTGAATGCACTATGTCCTTCAGATTCTCAAGCTCCAGGATATCAGCCTCTCGTTGTGAGTCTCTGATCCTTTCCACCACAAAATATGTACTCTACCTTAGCAGTTTCATCATAGTTCGTGCATATCATGCACTCATCAATTTTGTGCTTGTGGTGTTTGAGGTTGCAGTATCCTGGTAGATATCCCCACCAATGTTTTCAGGTCGGCCCTGTTCATCTCCAACTAGGTGTCAGTTGTGCATTTATTCATGGGGCATTCTATGTATGTCTTCGAATGGACTAGCCCTGATAATCATAGCCGGTGTAGGTGAGCTTCCTCTGCTCCGCCGTCAGGAGGGTTGCTTTTGTTTGTTTACTCCCTCCAGGCTTTAGTGTCCAGTTTTCCATGTTAGGGTTATTTTATTTCGACTGCAGAACATGAAAAAACAACTTCTTATCGTTTTGGCGAAGTATCAAAGCTTTATGACATTGCGTTGCCCAGATCTTACCATTTAGCTGACGGCATCTCCAAAGCGCTGCTTCCTCTTTTCAAATTGTACTCTCTATGTGAGAGTTCCAGTTCAGGAATCAGAGATCATCTTTTTCGATCAGAAAGGTATTGTTTTACCCTGATTTTTTTTAGCTAACCTTATTTAACCAAAAGGACGATAACGTGCAACATTGCAACTTCTTCTCATGAATTTTGAACCCCATGGTAACTACAGATTGGGATAGAAACCGATTTTACATTGGGTTAAATGGCTATTTACGTTAAGCCTTAGACTTAGACTTGAGAGCCGGCCCAGATACTATTCTAGGGAAAAAATCATACTCTCACACTATTATTAAATAACGCGAGGGTCTTGCCGCAGGGCACCCTACAACGCGGACAAGGTCCGCTTTGCTTACATCTACCATGGCAAGCAGTCGACTTTCATCGCGTCGCTAGTCGCAGGCTACAAATCTACCCGCGTCGAGCCGACGCTGCGCGTCGTCATATTTTGGCGCCGCGACACCTCTCACCTGATGTACGAGTGGTTTGGCGCGCAATGGGACGTTGCCGATTCCCCACCCCCGAACCGCACCTCACTCCTCGACACGATATCGCGCCTCGTCAAGACATCGGAGGCATTCACCTACGAGGCGTACGTCACCGACCTGCTGGACGAGCACGCCACGGGCGCCATCGCGCGTCTCATCCGCAGAGTGTCCCATTTCGTCGAATCTATCTATGATAGCCTCGACAAGGACCAGATCCTGCCAGCCTTATCCATAGTAGGCACGATGCTGTTCATCCTAGCGGTTGGGTACCTCATGGCGTACCTGGTGGCGAAGGAAGAGGAGCAAATCAGACGCGAAAAGGAGCGGGCAAAATCTGGTAACAACAACAATGATGATGAAGGGCACGGGGGCGGGGCCGCCACCATCACCAGTTACCAACCGGAATTGAAGCTCCACGAACTAAGATCGGAGAAGTACAACGCGCTGGTACGGTTGCTGAAACCCGGATGCCGTACCCTCTTGCTGATCGTAGACGCCGAATCCAGACGTCAGCTGATACCGCCATATCACAAAGCCGCGTGGCCGTATCGTCGCAACAAAACGTTGATGTTCGCCTACATGTGCATAGAGCGCGGACTCGCGTGGTACGCCGAGCTGTTGCAGTTGTCGTTGGGGGAGGAACGTGAGCTGAAAATCAACCCGCGAAATTGCGTGGGCACGGTGCTGGCACTGAACGGGCATCGGAAGTACTTTTGCGTGTTTCACGCGAAGCACACGGAGAGCGGCAGTAGAAGGAGGCGATCGAAAGCGGCGAAGAAAGGTGGGTTAGGTGCGCTTGTTAATTAGTGGTCCTGCATCAATGTACGTTCTGTTTGCGTTGCCTTCGCATTTGATAGAAATAAATTCCTTCAAAGGTTGTTCTGACCCAATGTGGCCAAGGCTGCCATTTTATCTATTATATTTTTTTCGGAATTTGGAAATATGTTGTCTATGGTTTATCTACCGTTTTAACAAATACTTTTATTTTTCAAATTTGCGCAGGGCAATATCATAAAAGCAATTTTTTATTGAAATGAAGGTTGGTTCTTTTTTATTAGTAGACAGACGCCTTTTAAAATTGATTTCGGATTATGTTGTTTTTATATGATAATGTATGTTATGAAAAGGCAAAATAGTATCGAAATTCTATACTATATTATCCTTCCATTTTCGGGTTAACAAAAGGATTTGCCCTTATTGTTGCCACAGGGGAGGACTGCGAGAGCGGTGCCGCATTCATCGGGTTCGACTCTGCATCGTCGGGGTCCGAGTCGGAGGAAGTGCTGTTGCAAGGCAGCTTGCTCGACGGCCTGCCCAACTGGCTGGATCGGTTGTTCGAGGGCAGCACACAGCGCTACCACATCAATTACTGGCCAGAGTTTCCGATCAAGTAATATTGCTGCAAGGGAGTCTCGACGGCTCGCGTTTTTTATTAGGTATTTATTTATTTATTTATTGTTTTTTCAATGGTAAAAAGATGCGCACTGTTTGAGTTAGAGAAGCCGGTTTGAGTTAGAGAAGCCGGTTTGAGTTAGAGAAGCCGTGCGATATGAATAAGATAAGAAGCTGAACAATACACTGAGCTTCGTAATGTTACCTCTTTGGGATTCATTTAACAAACCCGGGAACTTGTATAGAAGTGCATAAGAAAGTAGATGAAATAAATACAATAATCATGTTTATCGCAAAGTAAAAAAAAGATGCACTTTTCTTTGTTTGTTGCGAGAGAACTGAATATTTTGATGTGGCATAACCAAAACCAGGATAACCACTAACCCAGAAGAGTCTGAAGAGGTCAAAGAATTTGGAGGTCGTCTGCGCAAGAGTCGGAAGACCGTCTTAAATTTACTCATAGTTGGAGGGTTTCATTACTTTTTTTAGTAGTTCAAATGCGCCCACGAGATCGAAAAGCAAAAGTTTGCCTCGAGCTAATCGCCTATCACTGTCGACCTCGTGATGTCGACAATGAAAAGGGAGAAGGAAACGTGCCATACTGCCCTAAAAGTCGACCGTAGTTACCCAACTTAGTATTTTCAATTTGTAATTTTCACAATTACCAAATTTTTTCATTAGGTACAGACGGCAGGTGTGCCAAAAGTGGTTAGTTTTCATTTCTTTTCGTTTTTTTTTTTTTAAATGACTGCAAATAATACAAAGATGGATAATGGCGGCGTTAGATTAAGTTTAGCGTTAAGTGCACTTTTCCCGTAAAACGTGACACCCGCTATATATCTGACCGGACCCTAAAACGATTTTAAAAATGTTGTGAAAACAAATGTTGCAGTTTTTTGATACCTATTTCAGATTCTGTGACCTATTATAATAATAGCGGATCGTTTTTATAAAGTAGAAACCAATGTAATAGTATATGCATACAGTGTTGTCCGAGACGGATCTTTAATTATTAGATTAAACTTCTAAATGAAGTTCAATCTTAATTATATAAAGCGCCTTTTCCTAGAGATCAAGATATGTAGTCAACCCACCACCAAGATCTTACAATTTTAAAGATTCGAATCGAAAATTTTCGGTATCGATTCGGTCTGTACTATGTATTAAAGAAATTAATCATTTCCATTTTAAGAGACTTCGTTACTGGAACTTTAGAGGAACACAAAATGCAAATTTGCAGAAAATAAAACGAGGGAAATTCATCCTCAAGAAGTGATTTTGAGGAGCGCAGGACTGGTCTCTAGGAATAGACGCTTCATAGAATTAATATATAAATTGTATTCGCACCTTTTCTAAAAGATCAAGATGTCCAGATGTTTCAGGTAATTTTTCTGCAAATATCTTTTACTTTTATTTCTGGAACATATAAGAACAAACCGTCTTATTTTCAAATTTAATTTAATTAAAAAATATATATATAAATATAGCAAAAGTTGTTCAGTGTTTTGTCCAGAGCTTTTTACACGATATGGTATTTTAATTTCTATGCCTTCCAAAATGTTTCTATTTTATAGTTTAATAAGGGCAAGAGCATCGCCTGTGACCGAGGCAACTAATATAACGAATATAACTTTAAAGTAAGGTCTTTAAACCTAACTTTAATTAAAAATTTTAAATTCCCTTAAAGAATCTCTTAATTGTAAAGTCATTGACTCAGAGTTGCTTTAAAACAATTAAGAGAACCAATTGATTTGCCTTTATTCTTGGGTAAAAAAATGCAAAATCGCAGGAACAGAGGGTGCGACAATTTGTAGGTCATGTTCTTTGCAAAATTCACACTAAAGTATAAGAGTACAATTATATTGCTCTAATGTTGAGACAGTTACCGAAGTAATTATAATACCCAGAGAACATAATGAGACTCCTTGTTGTAAGATTTTTCTTTACATACACCTGCCACCAGGGTACACTTTCTTAGTCAAGTTCATAGTAAATTTATCAAATTTCTTTCCAATCACACTAAACTGTGGGCCAAAATTAGAATCATGGATACCAAAAATTATCAATTTGAATCTCTAAAATATGGGTTGACTACATATCTTGATCTGGTAGAAAAGGCGCGAATATAATTCTTTTAAGTACCAACACCAAAAATTAAAACCGCAAAAAAATTAAAAGAAAAAATGATGTTAATCTTAATCCATTTGTCTTTTGGTCAATATATTTCAAAATTCTTTTTCAAATAATGCCATGGAAATAAAATCTAAACATTTTACAATTCTTTTTTTTTTTTTTCATAACTTAACTTGGAAGCGCTGTATTCATTAATGGGCTAGAAAACTGCGCTGGAGCCAAATAATACACGCAGATTCCTGGCGTAGAAAACACCGACAACGCCGTCGCGTCAGTAACCTGATAAAGGCGCGACGTTCGCATGACTCTGGAATGTTTGATCTTGTATAAAGTCGGAGAGAAAGATTAATCGTCGTCGTTATTCCGTAGTCCCCCAGAAATAAATAAAGCACCATTTTGCCAGACAATACTTTTTAATTAATACTTTGGCGTATGTGGTCGAAAGAAAAATATATTTTGGTCCATTAATGGGCTTCTGAGGTATTTCTCAGCGACTTCCACGCAAGGTACATCGACCATACGCTCAGCGGGCGCATGTACGCCACTGACCGGAAGTGGTCCGACGCGTACAACGCTTCGGGCGTGTCGAATGCGAAGCCGTACATGCATGTCAACGTATCGATCATCCCGCCGGCGGTCCGGAAGCCCTCCTCCGTCATGCCCTGCAAGAAGCTGCGCGTTACATGTGACGGAATGCTGCGCAGATGCGCAGTCAAAACAATTCCGGGGATATTAACGTCTTTTATCGGCTTTTTAAAAATATTTTATTTAAGCTCTAGTTAATGACAAATATGGTTAAGTAACTAATAAATCAAGTATATACAAAGCACATAAAAATCATAGAATTAAATCATATTTCACTAAGCCTTTATGTGCGTCTTTCCCAAATAGGTGAAAGTTTTTAAATATTGGCTGAGAGAGTTTTTAAATATTTTTTTATGATCTAAATTCTAAACCATTTTCAACTTTTGAGTTTTTCATAGATAATTCCTTAAATATAATATGTTAGAAAAACACAATTTGTTTAATTATAAGTAAATTTGATTTTTTTTCGTAATTTTGATGATAAATTTGATTTTTTTTTTGTAATTTTGCTGACACCACAATTACACAAAATTAATATTAATATTTTCGACGTCAACGCTTCTTACCAACCAAGATTGTTTTTGAATTGTTAAAAAAATATATTTTTTAAACGTTCTATTAGCTGATATAAAAAAAAAGAGAATAGAAAAATGAATATCGGGTATTGAACTAAATTTAACATTAAGGGTAAAAATGAATAAGTTTCATTTTCGATTTTATTTAAGCCATAATATAGTTGATGCGCCGCAAATGGCATTGATATTTTCGGCGCATGCCGCTACTCCGAGTAACGTGCACTTTCACACACTTAACTCGTTTTCCCAGAACATATAGAGATCTAGGCATATTTTAAGAAAATACTGCCGTAAAAATGCCGCATCCATCTGATTGATGATCTGCCATTTGCCATGTTGGTTGTTGAATGCCGCAAGTTTATTCGTTAATAACGAAAATTCCTTAAAAAAAATTGCAGAGTTGCGACCTAGGCAGGGCCCCTGTATCTTTAATAGTTGTATGATTTAAGCCTATCCTGATGATGTAAAGGAGATAATTTTTAATTTTTCAAAGAAACTTCCATAGGCTACTCTAATGGTTTTTACAAAAAAATTGGTTAATTTGACACTAGTAAATAGTTTTGGTTAGTTTTTACAATATTATCTCTTTACAAAACTTCTGGATTCCTCATGCGTCGGTTTTTGCTTAGTCGAAATTGCTGACGTTTCGCCAATCATCCTGTTGGCTTCTTCAGAGCTTGACTGAAACTGGCTCGTAGTTTACTCTGTACCTGCTTATATGCTAATGAGGGGTATAAACATCGTCTCGGTTGACTGATTCCCAAATTGGTGACAGGTAGAGACCTGAGTCGCGGTTAAGATTGTTAGGTTGTTTATAGATTTCTATAGACTCTCGGATTTTTTGAGCATTGTACCTTATACATGGTCACATCACCATCCGGCCCAAAAATCATCGGTTATCAACTCTCTTGTTTACAGAGCCATAAAATTCTCAGCCGAAAGCCTCATTGCAATTGCCACTGTGGTCCTTCCTTACATCACTGACCACATATCAAAAGTTCTAAAGAAGTATAACGTCAAAACCAGATTTACCACTTGTCCAAAAATCTCTCAACATCTGCGGTCCGTCAAAGACAAAATTCCATTTGAGACGCCGGGAGTTTACAGCATTCCATGCATATGCGGCAAAAAATACATTGGAGACCGGACGAAAAATAGCAACTAGGCTCAAAGAACACGAAAGAGCCTTACGACTAAGACAAATAAACGCATCCGCTGTTGCCGAACACACTCATAAAACCGGGCATAAAATTTTATTCGAATAAACTAAAATTCTTGCATGTAATCAGTTTTTCTACCGAAGAAAAATCCGAGAGTCTATAGAAATCTATAAACAATCTAACAATCTTAACCGCGACTCAGGTCTCTACCTGTCACCAATTTGGGAATCAGTCATCCGAGACGGTATTTATACCTCCCATTAGCGCCCCCCTCAAACAATATCTAAGCAGGTACAGAGTAAAATACGAGCCAGTTTCAGTCAAGTTCTGAAGAAGCCAACAGGATGATTGGCGAAACGTCAGCAAGTTCGACTCAGCAAAAACCGACGCAGGAGGAATCCAGAAGTTTTGTAAAGAGATAATATTGTAAAAATAAACAAAAAATATTGTAAAAATTAACCAAAACTAGTGTCAAATTAACCAAATTTCAATATAATTTTATTTAGGATGTAGCTAAAGAATGTCGCCATGACTATCCAATGCCCAGTACATTCCATAAAGATGTCCCACTGTGCATAGATAAGGGCGGCCGTAATTGAATTAGTCTTACTTGTTTCGTGTAATTTTTTTTTGCTTACCTCGAAAATCATGGTCGCCGCTAACGCGTAAGTCACCCCTGTCCACACCTCCTGACTCTGGATGGTGCTGGTGTCGGGCGCGCCATTGACAGATCCGTTGACCGCTCCCTTGGCGCCGTCGCAGAACTTCACGACATTGTTCTCGAAGATCGCTTTCAGGGCCGACCGCACGTGGTCCCTCGGCAGGATCTGATTGCAGGGTTTAAGGCGCCGAATTTCTGTGCAGCCCACTTACCGGGTAAGAGTGTCCTGCGCCCGCGCAGCACAGGTACCAGTGGCCGTTCAACTGATCTGCCATTATCGTGGCCGCATGGTCACGGGAACAGTCGAAATTGTAGTACCGACCGTTCCACAGTTTCTTCTCGAACGACTTCTTGGCCCGGTTCAGGATTTTCGAGTACTTTTCAGTGTCCCTTGTTTTTCCGACTGCCTCCGACATCCGGACCATGGCGTAGAGGGCGGCCAGCCACAGGCCTCCGCAGTAGGCGCTGCAAAACGAATAAGCGATGTAGAGAGGTAGTAGGTAAAAATCGAAAAATCGTCGGTGGACGGGGCAAGTTCGTAGCGCGTATTACGAAGCAACTCTGTATTTCAAAAATAAGTCGCTTCGCGTTTCCTTGTCCTAGAGGGACTTCCGCGTTTCCTGGTTAAAGAAGTTTGCCGATCGGGTGAACGGTTATGGACACTTATCGTGTCGTCGTTGTTATGAAACACTTATCGTGTTTCATAACGATGCCCAAAAACCAGTCGAAAATCGTGAAAAAAAGGTGGATGCCGGCGTTAGATCGAGGCTATTATAAGCTTATTTATATATCTCGTGTAGGAGGAGGTACATCTCATTTTCATAGCCCAAACGGTTACGAAGTTATTCCGGAAAAACCAAAAGACGAGAACGGAGCACGAAGAACGTCCAACAGACAAAAAAAATTTTTTTCTTTTCGAGGCTGATCACTTCTGTACCAAGGACGGTCTCCTAGGGCCTACCGTCACCGAGATATAAAATGTTTATAACTAGCTTAGATACTTTCGAAAAATTCGATTTCATCGATTTTCGAAAGCAACAAGAATGCGTTTTGGTCAGGTGGAAAATGTGCGCTTTCAGGTTAACTTTCTATGATCGAATGTTTAAAATCGGAATCTGAACAGCAACTGACGAATGTCGCTGCGGTCCCTTCTTTTGTGCAAGTAAAAAAAAAATAAACCTCTGCAACGAAAATGTAACGTTATTAAATCGCGCCTTAAAGCCTGTTAGACAGGTTAAACTGCTGATTGATGTCAAACTATGACTAAAGTGAATAGAATTAGCTTCAGTGAATGGAGAGGGGTATCTGTAAAAAGCAACTGACCTGATTGCTACTCAGCGATACAAACGTTTGCGCAGACCACAAACTAAGTACGCGGCGGCGCTGGTAGTCAAATGACGTTGTGCCTCGTAGGATTTTATTAAGAAAAATCGTACCTGGCGCCGCTCATCACCCATGTGTCGAATGTCTGATCCGGGAAACCGGAGTTCTCAATCAGGCCGTCGTTGTCCTGGTCATATGCCAACGACCTTGTCATGACCTTGTCGCACGCGTCATACATCGCGTCGATGTACGCCCGGTCAAAACGGGGCGGGGCGTTCGCGTCCCTGAACGTCTGCAACACGAATTTCGGGTTGAGATCTCTCCAACCACTCACGTCGTGTATATTGTACGCGTTGATTGACAGGAAGGGCGCCTCGCCCGGGTCACCGGCGTCGTGGGGCACCGTGTCCGACTTTTTCCTCTCGACCACAGCACCGTCATAGAGCATTTCCATCTTTTCCGGTATTTGCGAGTAAACGAAATCTCTGAGGTCGTAATGGAGGCATCTCTGCAACTCGGGCCAGTTGACGCTGAGCGCGTGAGAAGCGTAAAAATGGACGTCGTAAGAATTGTACATGCGATACTCTAAACCTTCGAGATAAGCGAATCTGCCGTACTTTCGCCTGTAATGCGACAGATGGCGACACGAGTTTGGAATTTGAAAAATGGGCGGGACGCTACCTCGGATCGTTTTCTTCGAAGGTCTCGGCGTCCTCATCGCTAACAGATAGTCTTACAGAAGAGCCGGCGCTAACGAAATATGTTTCGTTGAAGAGGGCGGCCTTGAACCAGCCCGGTAACGCCCTAAGATTAGAAACTTTAGATTAGTTTAGATTATAGGTGTTAAGTAGAAGTTAACATATATTGAGATGGATCAATAGAACCGACAAGGCAAAGAGAAAATGCTTTTGTTTGACAAAAAAGTTTGTCCTTGCATGTACCCATTTTCAAAACTTGATCAATATATATCCATTTTTATTGACACGTTTCGAAACGAAAAGTATACGCCCAAACGATTGTAAAAAAAAGACCCACCCATCGTCCAACACATCCCCCTGCCACCGGAATATCCGGCTTTCCCACTCCTTATATCGATCCAACGCGTAGTCGGCCATCTTTAATGCGGCGTCCTCTTTGCCAAACCGCTCCGTGTAGTACTTGTAGTACCGTTTCCGAGAAACTGGGTACATTATCACAGGCATGTCCCACACGAGCGCCATTTCTAATTTCTGCGATCCGCCGTCACCGGTTAGGGTAGTTTTGGCCGCAACCCCGCATGCCATTTCTCCGAAGACGTGGCCGCGATTCTTTTCTGGACTTTTGTCGAACTGCCCCTCCCTAGCCAGCTGGTCCCACACCGTCGAGCCATCCGACCCCGGATCGAAATATAAGCACTGCGATACGGCAACGTCGCGCGCTGTTTTGACAGCTAAAGTGTACGTACATCTGATTTTGTTGATCGTGTGGTAGAGGACAACCCCCTCTTTGTTGCGGTAAGCAAACGGTTTGGTGCTACAAGTCGCTGCGCGAGCAAAACAAAGGCTTCGAGTGAATGTGTACAGGGTGCTATTGAAATGACGTCGGATAAATTAATGAACGAATCTCGACCCCGCGGAGATGCCGAGATTAATTTAGTGATTTCCGATAAAAACAGGAAAAATTAATTTTTGAATTATATTATTATTATTTTTAACTATACCATTCTCTGAACCTATGCTGTAAGCACTGCTCTGACAATTCAGAGATTCCTCTGGAATTTTGAAGACGGTGAATTTAGTAAATTTAGTAATTTAAAGTAAGTTAAAAACAAAAGAACTTTTTGAAGTCCTGAAAGAAAGAGTAGTGAAACTGGTGAGTAATTTTCTTTTTTAATTATATCAAATCTTGAAACAAATTTTCTGTGAATACTAGGGAACACTGTCACTACGAGTATTTTTGTCCTTTGTTGCTGGACTTCGAGATGCACTCATTAAATTATATGTGATTTCAATAACACTCTGTATAATAAAAACGCGTAGTGGACCTACGTACAATTTTTGTCGGTTTTGTCACACCCTGTTCCATTTTTGAATGTGAAAGCTATAGTTACCGTTCTTTTTACTTTGCACACGTTTTCTACGTTCCAAACGAACACAGCACAAGGCAAACAGCTCGCCTGAAACACAGAATTTTTTTCATTTAGTCCCCTAGACCTCAAACATATATCCAATGATTTTATAAAATCCTGCGCCCAGAGAAAGCTAATAAGAAGATAATTAACATGAAACGATTATTATAAATTATAAAAGAATGGGAAAGTTTGAAACAGGAGTTTAACAATATACCTCCTTTAAAAAAACTTTATTAACTATACCTCATACTCATGCGGAATGACCGGACTGACTTGTCTACAGATCAATTTCACCCCGTATTCTGACAAATCGTATTCCGTCCAAGATCTCGGGTACAGTCCAGTATATGTGCACTTGGCGCCATCTATATTACTCTGCCAACACCTTAACCTCTTTTTCCTGTAATAAAATGGAATATCTGACACAATCTTCCTTTGTTCCGATAAATCGACTATGACCTTTGATCCTTTTTTTTTATTACACTTAATAGATGCATGACTCACTTAAATGTTGACAAAAGACTCTGGAAAATCGTTTTGTGGTTTTCATCTTTGATGGTTACTATGAACTGATTCGCGTCCACAGTGTTCCAATCGCATTTATCTGGCTTTAACTGAAACCTACAAAATTCCCCTTTGTAGCCTCGTCCGATTGAACCCGATCCGATACCCCCGATCGGCACCCCTGAAAGAAAACCGGTAACATATATCATATAGTATTCGTTTAAGTTACCGTAAATTTGTTTTGAGTCCTGCAAGTTAACGTAGTCCATGACTATGGATTTTCCTTTGATTTTGTGTACGACATAATACCAAAGATATCTAAAGCAAATCGGATTTTAATAACAAGTAATATATTGCTCAAAAGTAAACCTTAAAATTAAAGGTAGCATGCCCCAAATAATTTTCAAAGAGGGTTTGAAGGTGGGAGTGCATTTTACCGGATACTCGTGGTCTAATTTCACTTTAAAACCGTATTTGGGAACTGCAGTTTGCTGGTTCTGGGTCATTTTGGAATAAATAACAGTTCTCTCGAAAATTGGTTTTGTCAACAGTCTTCCTCTTTTGCAATTCGGCCGATTTTTAGCCAGTTTTAAATAAAATGGAGATGAAGTTTAACCATAGCCTTTGTTTCGATAAGATTCGTTTGTTAGAAATGGTTCTTGTTAAATTATTCGCTTGCTTGTCGCTATTGTTGCTCGCTAATGCCGATAACAGCATAGAGGACGACGGAGAATCGGGGCGGTATACCATAGAGGGCCGAGTATTTCCTTTGTCTGATCAAGTCAGTCAATCAAACTGGCAGGCTACCACAAGGATACACGTAAACGGGGGCGAATATATAGGGTATTGCGTTTGGAAAGAGTGTTAAAAGATTCATTAAAGTAATTTAAATGTAGATTTGTGAAAAAGGACGGTAGTTTTGTCGTCCACAATGTACCATCGGGATCCTATGTGATTGAAGTTCTCAACCCTGATTTGATGTTTGAACCGGTCAGAGTGGAAATCAACTCAAAGGGTAAATTTAGAGCCCGCAAGGTAAACTATATCCAAACCTCGCAGGTTGTTCAAGTGCCCTACCCACTGAAAATGAAGGCCTTGGGCAAAACCAGGTAGGAATTTGGTCAAAGTATTCGTGCTTGTGTCATAATATTGGGAATCGATAGGTATTTCCAAGTACGTGAACAGTGGCGTATAACTGATTTCCTGTTCAATCCAATGGTGATGATGATGGTGTTGCCTTTGGTGCTCATCATGATTTTACCAAAAATGATGAATGATCCGGAAACTAAGAAGGAAATGGAACAAATCCAGAGCATGACCAAGTTTGAGATGCCCGAGATGTCTGACATGGTGTCCAATTATCTGGCAGGTAACAATGCTGGTGCCAGTGCCTCTCAGACACAAAGCAACAAGAAGCAGCTGAAAACTCGGAGACGAGTTGTGGCCAGTTAAAGATTTAGTTTTTTTTTGTCATGTTATTTCAAGTTCCTGGTCGGCCTGTGAAAATTTGTTTTTTTTATGTAGACTTTTTTATTGTTGAAACAAGACTCCATGAGAAGACACTGTAAGTTGCAGAAAATTGGTTGGTTTCGATGTAATTTATTGTTAATAGAGTAACTTTTTTTATTTTCTTCAAATTACAGATATATCATGAAACTCACATGGGTACTTTTAATGTTGCGCTAAGCATAGTCAGAAGTAAAACTAAAATGCCAACATCAGCACCAACAAACGGATAAACTTGTATTGCCCCATTTTGGCTTAAATGTTCTAAAGCCCCGCTGCACTTGTATTCCAGAAAATGCCCTTCTCTGGTCGCAAAGATCTAACGCACGCGATCCCAAGCATATAAAATTCGAACACATGCGGGATGGTTTGAATTATAAAGTCTATTGAGCCCAGAGAAATAATCAAAGAAGTTCAAGTTAAAATATTGTGAAGAAAAGAAATTCGTAATTCATTTGAAAAAAAAAATAGATTTTGCTTTAATTCTTGGTAGGTATTATTACAAGGTAAAAACAAAATAATAGCCTATATAAACTGGTTTTTGCTAACTGAATGTGTTAGTGAGACCCTCTTAATTATTTTTTTATTTAATTTAAATAAAAAAGGGGGAACGCCAATGACTAAATTTAGATATATCTTAATAAATTCTTAAAAAATGGTGTCTTCAGTTTTTTACTAAAAGGTCCCCTTTTGTTTTCGCGTGCACCTAATATCGAGCTACTTAAATTCGTTTTTATTTATAAAGGTTCCAGAAAGAATAATAACTTAATAATTAATTTCATTAATTTAATTATAATTATTATAATAACCATAGTTTTAAAATAAAATCTAGAGAAGAATATTTAAAATAGGAAAATGATTTAATTTTTTTATATTTCAACACCTTATACCTCTGAAATGAAGCATTTCTTTTTTACTTACTGTCAAAGTTTTCTTTTATAATTCGGACCAACCTAAGTGGTGGGGTGTGCCAAAACTTGTTTGACTCTGCATTAAAGTAAAACAATCATGCCATGTTTAACATATATTTAACATACAAAAATAGAGCAGGATCAAAAAATCTAAATTTTGGCACTTGAGAAAAAGCTACCTTAACATTTTTAAAAAATTTCCGTACTTCACAACCAGCGAGTATAGTGAAAATTTACCTAAATCTCTGGAAAAGCGCTTCCGATCATATTCTTTCCCCTGTACCGATAACTATAAGTTCTTATAATAAATCGATTGCCATTCATTTTCAATGGACATATTTTATCAGCTCTTAACAAGAAACAAGTTGAATACAATGCCATCTCCAACTCGGGACTGGTTCCAATAAACATTGAGCCCACGGGTTTGTCCACCCCATGGAAGGTAAAGTGGTACTTTAAAATAGATCCTTTCTGCAAGACGTAAGCTCAATGTTAACAAATTGTTGAAACACGTTGTTGAAACACTCACGTTTCCCAAGTCAATTTTCTTCATGTAACCCAAATAGTTCGCCCTGTTCTCTTTCTCCTCTTCACTGAAGTACAGCCAGTTGTGCAGACCGGAAACCATGTTGTTTTTGAGTTCCGCGAGAAATACATGCTCGAATCCGCTTGAACCAATCCGTCCACCACCCCTCGAGTACATATTAAACCATATCAGCCGCAGCAAATCTTTAAACTCCCGCGGATCTTTGCCGATCTTGCCTAAAATCAAAACCAGCAGTGTCATGGACACAAAAAATATTTGGTAAGTTGTTCTATAGCACACAGGGACCAACTTGAATATTACTTAAACAAAATATTAAGCCCGGAGTAGCCAACTTCGTATTTCCTAAATATATTCGCAATCTCGAAACAGTTTACCCAATTACTTAATTGTTTACAATTGTCATTTGACAATTTTGAGTTTAGCTTAACTCTATTTTTTCTTGTGTTTCTTTTTGAATTAATTGTATATTGTAAATAAATATACAACCAAATACTAAGTTGGCTCACCTCATCCTAATTTTACCTTTCTGGATTAGAAAACTTCTTGCGAATTGCATCACAGGGGTTGCCAGAACAGTATCAAGCAGGTTATTCTCCTCAATGCGTTCCTGGCCAGTGTAGACCTCATTTTGACCTGCATCGAGGAAGTAATTGTTGAACAACAGCGCCATTTTTTCGACGGAGGGGATTTTGTAAGCGGCAGGGTCGACCACAAGGAGTCTGAAAAGTTATTCCAAACAATGGGCTGGAACAGGTTCAGATAAAAGCGGGCTTACGGTTGCAGAGCTTCATCCCTTTCCGACCTGGAGCTGGTCATGCCTTGAAAATTCGCCACGACATATTTTGCCGCGTTGTTAAGGTCTTTTTTCAGCAGCGTTTCGGAAAATTCTCGCAACTCATCATCTGTGACAGCTGAGTCGCCGCTCGTCGGCTTTTCGACAACCTCATCAGGAGCATCAACTTCTGTACCCGGCCCTGAGGGAGAAACATTTGGTAGGGTTTGACCACCCACGACTGGAGTGGGAGAATTTTTCACGAAACCTCGACGACTGCCTTCAGGGGTCGCGGGCGTCGCCGGGAAATTGTTCGCCGAGTTCTGTCGAATGATGCCAGAATACGAGGGTTTGGTTTGGTTATCGTCAATTTTTGTGATTTGAGACGCCTACAAATTAGATGTGTTTAATGACCGCATCCTGCAGCCGATAGATATAGAGATCCTGTTCGTCACAGAACACAGACAATTAGTTTTGGCAGGTTATAGGTTAGTATGGTACAAATTTTGACGGTGGCTTATGATTATTTTATGAATAATCGAATCAGCGTCCGCAACCCCGTGCATCATAAAACTAGTTATTTTTCAATTTCCTCTATGACACAACATCTGAAAAGCTTTTGTATTTATCAATTCCCTATCCCTATGCCGGCAAAGTCATATTAAGAAAGGGCACAAAAGTAAAACAATTCTGGTTCCTAGTTTAAATGCCCACATGCAAAATTTTGCAACAGCAATAAAGATTTAAAAGCGCAGGCTTGTCCAGGAAGCACATTATTTGATAACCAAAGTGTTTTACCGATTTGGCAGTAGTCCCTGAATCGGGATTGTTCTGACTTAACCTTTGTTGCTTGGGATTACTAATTATGGCGCCATTGGCGGCAGCACCATTGTTGTTACTGTTTTTTTCTGTGCCGCTTATTTGGCTTTGGGCGGAAGCTGCCTGTGCCTGTTCATTTTTAATCCAAATGTTGTTTTGTTGGATCCACTTTGGAGCGGTACCCTGGGTGGGGCGCCTATTCACCATGCGTCTATTGGGTGTTTGACCAAGTGATGGCCAAGGAGTGGTACTTTTAATTACGCTCCCGTTTCGGGGTGCAACAGCGGCCTGCCTAACGTTAGTTACATCTCCACCTATTAAGTTCGCGTTTAGCATTAAAAATAGAATCCTAACCTCACGCGTGTAGTTGTATAACAAATGCAAGATTTAATCATTGGCCACCCAGTTAAAGTCAATACTTACAGATTATATCAACAATAACGAAGCTTAAGAGGATCACCAAAAAACTAAACAATGTGTAAGAGTACATTTTCAACAAAGCAGATGTGAAAATTTACCGATGGTTATAAGTTTTTTCGATCAAGGAAAACCGTCACATGTTCACACCAATGGACGCAAGACCCTTATCACATAGACTTTCACATTTCACATTCAAAAAACTAATTACAAAACAAGTTTCTATTAACAATAAAAACTGACCTTTTGTCTCAGATCACAGAATTGAAACTAAGCAGTCGGCCCAACTTGGCGAAAATATTATATTCCGTGTCGACTTCTAATTCGGTCCGATAGTTGGCTGTGATTAAATTGATCACGGAAAACTTTAGAACTTAGAGTGACTTTTGACTCGTCCTCGACCCCCACGATAATGTAAATTTTAAGTATCAGTGAATTTTTATTACAAAGTTGTAAAATTACGTTAGATTACCAAATCGCCCGGACCACACAAAAGTAGGAAACAAATTATTCCAAAATTAAATCCAAACGAGTGAAGATGGCACCTGACATCAAAGTAATTTCAAATGCGAAATGTTTTATTTCCTAAGCCTAAAATATTCCCTCTATTCAGGTCGCTATTATTGGGGGCACTGGTCTGGACGACCCGGATATACTCAAAAACCGAAGAGAGAAACGCGTTACAACTCCGTTCGGAGCTCCCTCCGACAGCCTTCTCCTAGGAGAAATTGATGGTGTTGAATGTGTGTTGCTGGCGCGCCATGGACGCAAACACGACGTTGCCCCCGGTAAATTTAATGCTGAATTATGGTAACCTCACTTTAGGAGAGCCTGCATTGAATTTTTTAGGTCATATTAACTACAGGGCTAACATTTGGGCTTTGAAACAAGAGGGCTGCACTCACATTTTAGCGAGTAATGCATGTGGATCTCTGAGAGAAGACATCCCACCTGGTGATTTGGTTATAATTGATAGTTTTCTTGACAGGTATACAAAATAATGTAAATGTATTATAGGATTTTTGTATGTTTGGTTTTTAAATTTTAAGAACAACAAACAGAATACAGAGCTTCTACGGCAGCGGCCCGGATAGTCTGCCCGGTTTGTGCCATATTCCTATGGAACCTGCCTTTTGTCCCCAAACACGCAAAGTTCTCTTGGAAACTGCCTCCAAATTAGGCTTAAAGGTTCACAACGGGGGCACTGTGGTCGCTATTGAGGGCCCTCGCTATTCGAGCAAAGCAGAGAGCAACTTATACAGGCAATGGGGGGCCCATTTGGTGGGCATGACTACAGTACCTGAAGTGGTTTTGGCCAAAGAGGCGGGCTTGTGTTATGGAGTGATTGCGTTGTCGACTGATTACGATTGCTGGCGGGATAGTGGAGAGAAAGTGTCCCATCAGTTTGTCGTAAAGAACTTCCAGGAAAACGTCAAGAAAGTTACCAGTTTGCTGCTGGCCGCCGTTTCTAGGTTAAAGGGAGAAGATTGGACAAGGACCTTACAAGATACGCAGGTTGGTTATCTGTTTGTAGAATGAGTTTTAAAGCGCAATGTTTTGTATTTTTGCAGAATTTGGCGAAAGAGAGCGTTATGCCGCCGAACGAGCAGCGAGATTCCAAAGGGGATGATAAATGTTCCCTCGAGTGCCAGAAGGCTAAATAAATGTTTTGATTTATAAATTTTATAAATTTGTCATTCTAATAATAATTCGAAAATATTCTCTCAATTAGTAGTTCTTTATTTCACCTTAAAGGAACACTTCAAACTCTAACAAAATTGGCATACAGCTAAATTGACAATTAGCACAGACCACCACCAATACTAAGCAGAATTTGGCAAGCGTGTTATAGTAAATAATACTATAATTTTATATTTATACTTGGACAAATGCTTGCTTATCCTACATTTGCAAAACTTTCAAATATTTTTACCAGCGGATAATAAACTTTAAATGCGACTATATGTTGGCACAAAACCAGAAAAAAATAAATCGCCAGTTCGATAAAATTATAACTTAATGACTATGGTTTAAACATTGGGTCAAAGACTGCGCATCACGCTGGCCAACTCCAACCAAGGCAGAGTTGTCAAAACCGTTATTAAATAACATCCTTTCATTCGTCTGATTTTTTATTTAGAAATGCTAACATTCGCCAGTCTTTTGACTTTTCGTCCGTCTATGCAAATATTTTGTTGATAACTGACGACGAAATCAAAATTTTCGGCAAAAAGCCGGCCGTATATTCGGACGATTCGACAACGTCGCCGCGATTTAGTAACTTTCGTCACCGAAAGTTAATAATTTGACATTTGTCGAATCGGCTTTGGTTAGATCTCGCTTCGTTTACATGTAGTGCGTGCCCGACAGTTCAACGAAAATCAATGCCGATTTTTTGAGGAAACCCGCTAGAGAAATGGCCACTGAAATTCTGAAATCGTTCGACGCGTTGCGCAGCGAACTCGAGCAAGCTAAAAACAGTTTGAAAGGCGTCGACGAGAACTTGAAACGTCTTATAGGAAGGGACCCGTCGGAGCTGCCTGCCAGGCCCGATGGCGGCGTTAAAAGGCCCCTTAACGATCGATTATCGCGTCAAGGGGCGAAAATAATCCGTCGAAATTTCGAAAACAACGACCCACCGCCCAGACGTCGAAATCCGAACGCTATATCCGTGTTTCAGAGGTTATCTGAGCGGCCTGTATATGAAGAAGTACAGAAACCTGCGAAGGGCCTCATTAGTAAGGTAATCGTCACGCCAAAGGAGGTACCGAGCAGGCAGAAAGCGCTCGAAGCACAAAGCAAAGATGAAAAATTCAAAGAGAGAAACCGGAGGATGTTTGGCGCGCTGTTGGGCACCTTGCAAAAGTTTCAACAGGAAGAGAACAAACTGAAGAAGAGGGAGGAGAAGAAGGCGCAGGTGGAGAAGAAAATCGAGGAGCACGAGATAAAAGAGAAAGAGGAAATACGGAAGGAACGGCAGGAGTTGTTTTACAACAGGCGGAAGAAGCAGGCTGAAATTAAGATGCTCGAGCTCAAGATGTTGAGGATGAGAGAGCACACAGCATGGGAAGAGAAACAAAAACCGAGGATGAACTTTATTATCAGCAAAGCCAAACCTCATTTGCATTACCTACCGAGGAGAATGACAGACAAGGCGAGGCAGTTGCTTGAAGTGTCGCGGAGTGAAGTAGAGAGTAAGATTTATTGGATGTTTCTTAATTCCTAGGATAGTAATCATAAAAAAAGGGGTTTCAGTTTGGGTAATAAAATTGGGTCTGGCCCTTATGATTAATTGTTTGTTGCCCCCAGGTCGCCAGGGTTAAAAAAATTGGGATGTGTAGAAAAAAAGTTTATATAAACCTATGTATGTCCCAAAATGCATAGTTTTTATGATAGAGAAAATATTTTTGTGTCGATTTTTCTTAAATTTGAAGGTGGCGTTTAGGGCAGTGGGATTAGAATTATTAATTTCAATGGCGTCCCCGAAACCAAACTAACCAATATTGTTGGCAGATTTTTTTTTGCACACACGGGCGCTAGTATGGAAGCGATCAGATATTTTCGGTAGACTTAAGCCATGAGACACCGACTAGAAAAAGTATAATAAGCCACACAGTTCAGTTCCACAATGGCTTTTATCAAGCTGGTTGCATAATTAATTTTTTTTTGGAGAAAAATTTTGTCATTTAATGTTAAATGCTTTATTTTTTAAAAGGTGTGGTTTTGGCTGTTATAAGTTTTGGCAACACAATTTTTACTAGCCTGTATGGTGTGAGTCACGTTGAATGTCGTATTAAAAGCACAGTTTTTTTTTTCAAAACTTGTTGGAGGGCTAGGTGATAGTCACAGACGTCCAACTAAAAGAGACCCCCATTCATAAAATTGCTGCTGTTTGCAAATATGGATTGAGGAATGTTGTCTAAATTTGAGGATTGCGACGGTATATCATTGGCATGTGAGATTATAATATTAAAATATTCGTAATATTATAAAACACTTTTATGGATGATGCAAATAACATCGGATGTCTTTGAGCTTTCTTTGGAAATCTATACACGTTTACATACACGGAATTCAAACCGAATAGTTCATTGCAAACTTTACAATATTGCTGCAGTTTAGCTATTAGTCTTTGTAATAGCAATATTCAACAGCTTTTCACTTTCCAAAAGTCCCCTTTCTTCCAAAAAATAGGCAAAAGCAGAAGTAGCACAAGACGCATTTGAAATCGAGGTTAAATACTGCCTCTTACATTAGCGCAAGCATTTATTCGTTGTACCCTTTTCACAAAAAAAGGAATATTTTATTTATTTAATGAAATGTTTGCGAGACTTTTTCTTAATGTATATTGAATTGAAGTTCTCATTTACCTTTCTAATACATAAAACTAGTATTCTGTGTATATTGTATCGGCAAAAAACCCCGGCGATATCCAGCACTGCCAACATTATCTCAGCCCGTCAAGATATTTGCATCACGTTAAAGTGGAAGCAGTACTATCACGCTTGATTATATTGCTATGTGCTATATGCCTATAAAACTACAAAAAAAACATCGAAACGCTATAACTAAAAAACAACCGACCTATAGTTTTGATACATGTCGAAGTTCGTATTATTTCTAAAATGAAAGACACAGCTATCAGATAATACGTAACAACAAATACGTAAACAACAAAACAAGGGATCTACAGTTTTTGGTGGAGAGCTACTGTTGTTAAAATTAAAAGAAACAAGAATTATCATGGCACGTAAACAAAAGCTAAGCTATTTTACAGTAAAAGCAACAACCAACTGACCTGGTTTTTTGAAAATAAAAGTATTAATTTCAAAGTAACAAAAAAACCGTCTTTGCCACCTTTCAGGCTATTATAAAAGTGACTGTGACGTTTAGCATTATTTTTTAGCAAATCCATTAAGTCATTAAACTTTTTTTTGGAGTTGGTATAACATCTCCATAAGCACGGTCTAGATTCACATTTCCAAAAAATATAAATATCACGTCTGCTCGCATTTTTCTTTGCATAATACTTATGCTTCTGTAGTCAGTTTCACTAAAAGATGTTTTATATAAAAATGTGTCAGGAGCATCTTTTTCTACTTTGAAAAGACGCGAGTCATTAAAAGAAGTTGAGTTACTAGTTTTTTAAAATCAAAAAAATCATCGTAACTCATTTCTACGACTACGAGTTCCCGCCTTCTTCGGTCTTTTTATCAACATTACGTACTCTGCGGCCATTACAGACACGCGGAATTCTGTCCCGGTTTTGGGCGTAAGATCGTTAAAAAACGCGGGAAATTCAATAGTGGCTCTCTCTCTCTCTCCCTCCCCCTCCCCGCCCCTTCCTTTTTCTCTCTCTCACAATTGACTAAAAATAGGTATTTTCTGATATGTGTCATTAGTACACCCAGTGAGCGATATATCTGCGGTAATTGTCTATATTATGGAAATGTACTTGTAAGTGCGTCGTTGCAAGATCTACACAGTGCCAAAGAAAAATTTGAAATTTCAATCGGAACACTACCTATTTCATTACAGATTCGCGGGTGGTACATGTGTTTTTAGGTTTTCAAAAGTTTTTTTTTAGTAAACCCCGGGTAATTGAATAAAGTTTAATACCTATATAAGTACCAAATTATAAGTAGCCATTTCCATTTCGCAGAGGAAATCGAGAAGAAACGCGCGGCAGTGGCGGACGAGCTGAAACGGATCGAGGACCGCATGCGCCGCAACTTCGAGCACAAATTCGGCGCGAAGGACAAGGAGGCGGTCGTCGCGGAACAAGAGGTCGATCACGCCGAAGAAGACACCGAGCTCGACTGTCACTTCGACGACATCGTGATGGACTCGCCGAAAAACAACGGCGACGGCAAATCGATTATGGCGACGACGACGGTAAAGGAGGAGAACGAGGCGGTGCCTGAGACAGTGGCCGACAGGCAGGAAGAAGTCACCAAAGAGAGGCGGGGCGAAAAGGAAAGGAAATCGAGCACGTCATCCGACGATACTGACCGCGGTGTCGATCCCAATGTTAAAAACAAAGAAGATGAGGAGGAAGAAGACGAACAGGAGCCGGTTAGGGTCGATGATGTAGCTCCCGTGGCGGACGAAAACGGCGGGGTAGCAGGGCAGGATATCTGCGACCAGATCCCATCACCACCAGGATACCCGAATGCCCTCGTTGGGAATGAGGAAAACGGCGACACCCAGCCTGCATATATGGGTGAGGCCAACGACGTCACTTATCCTGGCGCTTACGACGCGGTTTACCCGCCGGACGTGAGTGCGCCGCCCCCGTCGTACGGGGAAGACGGTCATGGGTTACCCTCTCATACTAACCCCGACGGGTATGACCACCAAGAGTACCCGGGCGGCGGCACGGGGCCTGTACAAATAAACTATCCGCCGTCCGACGGCTACTATGAGGGGCAACAGAACTACGCCCCAGGGGACGATCATTCGAACTACTTTTACGACCAGCGATGATGGTAGTGGCGCGAAACAATACCGAAACGTTTGTGAATACGGAGACCCGGTTCGGCGAGGAGGCGTTTTTCAATTTTTCTTCGGACGTCAATCGTGAGGTGGCGCCGCAAACGCGTAACCTTTTTATTTTTAATCGTCAGTTGTAATTTTAGTGTGAACGGAAGGAGATAAAATTGTAAATAAAATAAAAGAGTTGCTATTGAAAACACTGTTTTTCATATAACTTTCAAATTTAATAAAAATGTGGCAGCATGTTTGATAAATCATCAACACCATCAATTTTCTGATATATAAGCCTACATCATATTTTTTTGAATGGAACACAATCTATTATATATTTGTGTTTAATAGACTATCTTACTCCGATTATAATGATGTAACACACTTTGCATTTTAGTCCACTCATTTTTGACAAATTGGCAAAAATAGGAAATTTTTATATAACTTCAAAGAGTGCCCTGAATGACAAATAAAAATATGTTTATGTTTGACATAATAGCAAGGTGTTATTGTTAAAATGCGTTTTCGCAAATTTAGCATCTGTGAAAGGAGTGATATGCTTCAAGTATACTTTATAAATAATAAAAGTGCAATCGCACCTAGTCGTCAGTATATTAGACTTTTTAGACAGCGCCGAGCTCCTTTACAAAACAGGTATATCCAAGGCTGGAAAAGAAATTTGCAGAAAACGGTAACGTATTAAATGCTAAAAAGGTATGCCACATCCAGTTTCCTCTATTACTAGAGTATATGACAGGTATTTCTCAGGGATCAATCGACTCAGTTTTCAAAAACTAAGTGCAGAACAATGTCAAAGGAGGATGCAGTTTTGTTTGGATTTTTTAAATAGACATAATGAGAATAAAAACTTTTTGAAAAACATTTTATGGACTGATGAAAGTGCGTTCACTACAAGCAAGGGTTATAATAGACAAAATACGCGATATTGGTCTTTAAATCAAAAACTCAGATATACCAATCAATTCGGTGGTGTCATAGATGGGCATATTTTGGGTCCGATATTTATAGATCAAAAGTTAACTGGAGATCATTATTTGCAACTCTTAGAGCACCAAATAGAACAATATATAGAAGATTTACCCCTAAATATATTAACGCTGATTATATGGCAGCAAGACGGTGCCCCTTCTCTCAATGTTGTGTTAGTTAAAAATTTTCTTAACATGGAATATTCAAGGTGTTCAAGCGATAGGGAACGGCGGAACTCTGGATTGGCCAGCCAACAGCCCCGACTTAACTTTAATGGATTTTTTCTTTTGGGGTGTAATAATGTCGTGGAACTTCGGCAAAAGATTTCAGAGGCAATCAATCAGTTAAGAGACAATTGGGAAATGTTATTAAATGCAAGACATCAAACATTGAAAATTATGGTCACATACAGCAAGTATTTGGAATGGTTAAAGAATTTTTTAGTTTAGTCTGTCTTTTTTAGTGTTTTTGTTCTACTTTAATTTGTAAATAATTATTGTTGTTGCAGTCAGTCAGGGCACTCTTTGAAGTTATATAAAAATTTCCTATTTTTGCTGATTTGTCAAAAAAGATGTATAAAGATATTCTATTAAACGCAAATATAAAATAGATGGTGTTCCATTAAAAAAAAAAAGATGTAGGCTTATATATCAGAACATTGATGGTGTTTTGTTTTTTACGTCACTTGGAAAAACTTGGCTACTAACTCTACATTTTGTTTTCTATTTTGTTTAACTTGATATCTCTAACAATAAAGTTCCAGTCAAATAAAATCTTATGAAAATAAATTGAACGCACGTTACAACTCACTAGTAAAAGTATACTTGAGTGTGCTTCGTTGGTCTGGTCTCTACTTTACTAAAAATATACTGAAGAAATAGAAAAAAATCAGAAGAAATTTTTACGCTTCTAATACCATAACAAACATGGATATTTGACATACCATATCAAACTTTACTCCAAGAATTTCGTTACGAAAAACTAGAATCAAGACGGAAGAAATCTGCATTATATTAAACACATATATAATATACAGGGCGTTTCATTAAAAAATATATGATGTAGGCTTATATGTCAGAAAATTGCTACTTTTTTGTTGTATAGGTCATTTGGAATAAAATTGACTACTGACTCTACATTTTGTTTTTTTATTTACCTTGATATCTCTAAAAACAAAAAAGCTACAGCCAATTAAAATGTTATCAAGATAAATTGAACGCACGGTACAAGGTTTCAAAAGTTCTTATTTGTTGAAAATTTGATCCATTCCGGGGAATAAAACTCAACATTACATACGCCCCTTTTTGTTGTGTTATGTATATGTGTTTCGAAGGTTATTTTTGTGTCAAAGGTTACCCCCCGATATTTAATTTGCTTTTTTGCGGTTAATAATATATTATTGAATCGATAATCATAATTGAAAGTTTTTTTTGTTTGTTGTGTTAAGTTTGTACATATTTTGTTTATTCACTCAAATCTAACAAAGGATTGGTGATGGGTATGTGGATGTGTATCGACATTTGGTAGACAAAATATTGAACTTCTTAGGGTAATGTCAAATGTGTAGGATTGCGTTTTAAAAAAATGGGTTTTTCTTGTTAATATTTTTTCCAGAAATGTATATTTTGGGTTACCCTGTATAATTTACCATCAAAGTTGCGTATTCGCCATTCAAACAAGTGTCTTAGCTAACGTTTATAAAATTTTTAGCTCACTTATGCAGAAAGATATATAGGCTGAGGAAAAAATTTACTCAGAATTTTGCGTAAAACCCGGAAATGTATTCATAAAGCGTGTGGATTTCCAGTGTTTTTAAATATTCAAGTTCAATATTTAAAAAAATAGGTCGTGAAGCACTATAGCCATATACCGAATTTGTCGAAAAAAACAAACTCGTTAGTTCTCCAAAACCCAACCTTTCTTACAGATTTTGAGATAAGGTATAACCTCATAATAAACGGGCCACCCTGTACATCAACTTTCGCTTCCTCGTCCGCAATTCGAACTCTGCGCCGAGCAGGCGACCCAAACCTGTTGGCCTTACGCAACGCTTTAATTGATGTTTTCGCTTAACGATGCCGTCGCATGATGATGAACTGAAAACCAATGTTCAAAATACGTGCCACAACTTCGCTCTGACGACGCGTGAGAATCGTCCGATTAATTTTCTCCCGAAAACAAAAAAAAATGCAGACGAACAACGGGACTTCCGCCAACGATATTCTCAGCCTGGACAACCCGGCGTTCTGCACTTACGTAATCTGCTGCTGCCTGCTGATTCTCAAGATGATGGGCCTCGTTCTCCTCACGATATTCCACAGGCAAACGAACAAGGTACACGAAACACGATAATCAAAAAATCTTCCCGATGACGCCAGAGGAGCACTTTTTTTAAGCAGGTGGGCATCAGCGAAGAAGACGCCCGGTTCGGCATGGAAGTAGCCCTCCATCCCAACGTAGAACGCACGAGAAGGTAAGTGCGAGGGCCTCGGTCATTTTTTGACGCACCTTTGATTACCAGCCGAACCAAGCGAATTGTCAATTGCGCCCTGTTAGTTAGAAATTTTGCTGGCGAATGTTATATTCAACAAACAATACCCCAAATAACGAGAAATTTTTTTAAATGAAGTTTTTTAGTATAAACTTGACGTTTCTTCAACACAATAGAGACTTTCCCCCACATTAGAACATTTGAACTTTGCATAGTTTTGCACAAATAATTTGAAATTTTGCTCACCTTCTTAGACAAAGTTACAACTTCCCAAAATTTATAAGCTACCCCCCAGTGATAACACTTAACTTATGTTTATGTTATGTTTCCCCCGGCCTCAACCAAATGAAAATCTTCTTGTACCATTGAAATCTCTGAAAATTATAATATTACGGAAATTTTAAATTTTAATTCGAAGAATAAATTCAAATTATATTATCATAATTCCCCCAGTGTTTAAAACCAAAAAACTAGTAACCTCGTTACCTTTTCTTTCTTCACAGTTGCTATTTTGGTTAGGCTACTAAATATATCGCGACCCTACCTACGCTGATAATACTTTCGAGAAACTTGTTGAAGTCAGTTCGTTTTAACTCCCGTTTTCAAGCATATAGCCATTAGATAATATAGTGGCGCCCTAATACGGTAAAAATTGATGCGCCTTTCAATTTTGCCGTATACTATTAATACCTAGCGACGTGCAACAACCATATGTCAATTCAATAGTTTTCAATTTTAATTTTCATTTTTAGTGCAAGTCAGTGGGTGAAATGCAGAGTCATGCGCGGAAAATCATTACCTTCTCTCAACGTCGCCTGTGGCGTATCACTTTTTACCGTAGTATGGTATCTAAGAGCTATGTAGTCCTCACAGTTACTATAATAGGGACTTTTTGTATTTATTTTGATGTTGTTTTTATCCCTTATTTAAAACGTGCGCACTTGATGAGTTAATCGATAAAGTTGGGCGCTACCTACAGCAGAATAAGAGTCAAGTTTCTAAAATTTGAAGCGTAGGCGGTGTTGTCAGTAGTCATACAATAAATTTCGAAAATAGGAAATATTGTGAGCTATGAATTTAAATAATAAAGATTTGTTTTTATTTTATTGTACTTGAACTGTCACCTTTTAAATATTTTTATTCGACTAGTTTCTCTCTTGTTTATTCTAAAAAAACATCTTTTTTTTCGTCAAAAGTCGTTTCTATGATTGTTAAATTTGCTTATGAAGGTAAATTTTTGTAGCAGATTTATTTATGGTTTCCTTTTTGATTTTTCGCAAAATATTGGAAAGCCAATGGAGTTTGGTGATAATGCCGACCTAGTGTGCGTGTTATAATTTAGGAACATATTAGGTTCTAAATTAAAAGGAGGCAAAATAATACTTCTTATAAGGTTGTGATGGTGATTGACGACAAGTGCTCTTCTGCATCTGAAAACTTATCAAACGCATTTTACATTACGACAAATAAAATTTTTTCTTTTAAATAACGTAAGACATCCAGGCTTCATCTGGCCTTTCAAAATAAGATCAGAAAAATTCGGTTATAACCCGTTAATAACCAATATAGTGCCATAAGGGTGAAATTTCATAGAAGGTGCAAAAAGTCTTTAAAATCTAATAGCTGTATGGCGTTAATCGATCCAGATTCTCCCGCAGGGCGTTCCTGAACGACCTCGAGAACATCCCGGCGTTCCTGTTCCTCAGCTTCGCCTACCTGTGGACGCGGCCAATTTCCACACTCGTTCATGTTGTCTACTACGCCTTTTTGGTGGCCAGGGCTTTGCATTCGTTCGTTTACGCCGTGTACGTGGTGCCCCAACCCGCGCGAGCAATCTGCTTCGCGATCGGTTTCATAATCAATGGGTACTTGGCGGCGCACACGGCCATCTACGTTTTCATCGTCGGCTACTTGAAAAAATAACAGCGCACGCGCGCGCGCCATCTTTATCTGTTTTTACTGGTATTGCTGTTCGGATAAATAAAACCAGATGATATGATTTCCGTAAAACGTTATATATTTCGAACGTGGAAAGTGGCGAAAAACACATGCGCCGAAAAATTCATGTATTGTTGTAAACACGTTGTTAATCGAGAACGCCGAGACCGCCCGCGATTTAAATTCGTAGTTGACTGGTAAGCGACACCACAGATCCAACGCAAGTCACGGAATAGAAAATAGCACGCTAGTAGCTTCGTTACGCCCGGCTTTTATAAATATGCAGACTTTATCAAAAAATAAATTGACATCGATATAGAAACGAGGGCGAAATAATAAATTACTTGGTTATTCCGTCATTCCTCACTCATCACAAGTAGTGTTGTGTCAATCGTTGATTTTACGAGGACTTAATCAATCAGTAACCGATTTCGAAAAGGACCCAATCATTTCAATCAATCGTTCATTTCAATACTTTTTGATGCCAACATAGACGACAATGAATCAGAACAGTCCGAACGACCGATTCAGATCCATTTGAATTATTGTTGTGTTTATATGTTAGGTTTTCTGTTCTAGTTAGTATAACATCTAGCTGTGTTCTGCTTTTTATTGAATCATGATTTTATCAAAATAGTGCTACATATTGGGTTGTACCAGTAATACATTAATTTGTTTAAATTAAATACCTGTGTGGAAATAGATATTTCATTCAATATTCAATTCAACACATCAGCAAATCTACAGATCGATGTTGCAACTCAATATTATAGAATAATTATAACAATACTCCCATTCCTTTTCCGTGACCTGTCTCAGTCATGCATTTAAATCTTAAACCATTCAAATGAATCGTATTCCGGCGAATTCGGTCGGTCGTCCTGTATTCGGTCACTTCAGACCGCTCAGGGCAGCAGCGGGAGGCAACAAGGTGATCGAATCGTTACGAACAAGCGAAATTCGGTCGTTCGATCCTAAGAAGTGATTAAATCAAAGTGACTGAATCAATCGCGATTGACACAACTCTGATCACGAGTACTGTTGCGAAGAATAGAAACCGTTACAGAATTCAGCTGTTAATATTTCACTTGTTGACGAGCTTATTTGCTCAATAAATTATTGATATATTAACAGCAACAAAAATAGCGATTTACATCACTTCCACTGAATGGTTTCAAAGCGAAACACGCTGCACCGCGTGAAACTCAACTTGTGAAAGACGCAGTTACAATAAATAGGACAGGTATCTTAATGTTATCACAATATCGAATCACAACTCTTTTTAAAGTACACGTCAGCGCTTATATCGCGTGAGTGAAACATATGGAAAAATGTGCTCTAACAACTATAACAATATTTTATTTTTATTTTTATTTTTGGACATTCCCTTTCTTTCAGATCGTGACGCAAAATTTAAAAGTTCCTATCAGACTTCATTAATCACAACTTTTCCAAGTCAAGACATGTTATTAAATTACATGAAAATTTTATATATTGGGATATACTTCTACATTTTCTATATAGGTTTAAGTTTTCGTTTTTTATAATAAAAACTTTTTTTATATAACTGTTTAAAATTATTTCAGGAGCATAAGCATACTTTTCACTCACTCCCTATAAGTAATTAGAGAGAAACGTCAGAAACCGTAAAATTTTATCAGTCCATGTAAGCCATTGAAGAAATTATGCGTAGAATGCTGAAAAATTACAATACTACAAATATTTGAAAAAAGGTGACTGTGTGTGTACCTATCAAGAGCGAAGAATATATTACGACTATGCCGAAAAGTTTGTTAAAAAAAGAAGCCATTTTTCTTTTTAGAATCGGGTAAATAATTAAGCTGACCACAAAGCAAGAAAGAAACTGTTGATTGTGTTTTTCGGTTTTGTTGTCCCTAAACGGGTACAAAAAATATTCGCAACCTAACTAATCTTATGTCTGATTTACGAGCAATTCAACAATAAATATTCCCATCGCGGGAATTGATGAACTTATTTCTAAATTTAATTTATTCAAATCAATGAAACACTGATCAGCAAAAGCTTCATCAAAAAGGGGTCAAAAAATGTCATCGAAAACACACTTCAAGAGGGGAGGACACCAAAAACGCACTACTTGAAAAATGCCACAACCCCTTCTTTTAAAAATCTTAAACCTAGTAAGGCACGATTTTTTACATTGTTAATGGCAAAGATATTACACCACGCATCTTTAACTCAAATCAAACGCGTCCTACCTGACGATCGGGTATCGACTCCTCTTGTGGAAGGCGGAACTGAAACATTTGAGGCTGCAAAAGTGACAGTCGATGGGCACATAGACCGTCTCGTCGGCGGAAGTGCTCACCATCTCGGATATGGTGGACAGCAGCAAATTGTGCGAATGTCGGACGAACACGCCAAAACACGCCTTGCCGCAGACACAATACTTGGCGTGATCGAGAAAATCGATCAAGGTAGTGGGAATTGAGCCCGGAGGGAACGGGATTCGAGCCCACAACACTTTTTTACCAGCATACTCTTTAAGCGAGCACGCCGGCAATGGTCTCGGAAAAATGCCCGCGCCGTTCGGGACATTTTGCTCGAATCTGGAAAATAGCAAAAAGAATATAGATAATGCAGGTACCTTCCAACAACCTACACCCAGTATTAAAGTTTACCACAGAACATCTCAACATTTAAATATAGTTATGGTTCCCATTGTAGGATTTCCATAAATTGGGCGCGTAATTCAACATTGCCCATTGACGGCGTTAATTTCAATATTTATAGAGGAATGCTGACTTTCCCTAGCTCATTTCACTTAGTGCCAGTTTAAGCACTATTATGATATAGATTATAATTTATTACTTTTTTATTTTAAAACACAAATTTTTTATTATATTTAATGGCGACTTTTTTTTAAGTGACTTCTGTACAATTTTACTCACCTATTGTTAGATAAATCTATTGACTGTAGTCGAAGCATCTTTACACTTCCGGGCAAAATCGTTAACCTGTTATAAGCGGCTGAGAACACCTTCAAGTGTCTGAGACTACCAATGCTGGTGGGCAAAGTGGTCAAGTGGTTGTCGTTAAGGTGTAAGGTAGTCAGAGAATGTAGTTTGGCAATTTGGTCGGGCACAAAGCCTAGCTCATTGCGACTAAGATCTAAAAGAACTAAAGACTTACACAACTCCCCTCCTATCCAAGACCACCGGCTCAAGGACGCTTTGCCGAGACAATTGCGAGACACATTCAATTCCTTCAAGCAGGCCAACTTGTTAATTTCATTTGGGAGGTATTCTATCAAGTTGCCACTTAAGTTTAACACTCTTAACTTAAATAGTTGCAGGATACCTTTATCTAAGGCGCATCTGTCGATATTGTTTACATATAATACCTCCAATGTCCTTGGAAAACCCTTAATGGGATATTCAGACCTCCTAGAAATGATGAGCTTAGTCTGGGCTATGTCTTTCGCCTTAATAGGCGTCACGGCCATGCTCGAGCAAGTCAGTTCCTTGTCAGATATTTTGCCTTCTAAAGCTCGTTTAAATAAATGCAAAAAGCCCTTGATTTGTATCGCATCTCCCTGGATATAGAGATCATGCTCCGGATTTTTTATTTGGATTGTGCACTTGCCCTCGTGTATGAACTTAGTCAGGACATGTTTGATATTCTGATTAACGGGGTACTTTGTGCCGTTTTTATTGTGCCCTGAGAACAACATTAAACAGTACTCCTTGTTTTTGGGGTGTCTGCATAAGGCCAGTGTCGACTTAACATGTTTTTTTTTTAGGTGGGCCAAATTCGGCAACGACCGGTTCACCACGCAAATGTTGCACGCTATTTTCATGTTATTCGATGCAATGAACGAATTACAAACGATTCACCATTTACAAGCATTTTCTTTGTCCTTGAAAATTTGACAATAAAAATGACGCCACCGAAAACGGATCTCTTCTTCTTTACACGACTAGTCAATGCCGTAAGTTCCACCGACCAAAAGATATGTTTATTTCATTCCTACTAGGTGTTTGTTAGTTTTTTTAAATTTCTGCTTGATGCAAAATCAATCGTCATGTATTGGTGGTTATTGCAAATTTAAAATTAATAAAACCATTTTAAAAGGTTTGTGAATCAGAACAGAGAACAAAAACCAATATAAATTCTGCCGATTAGCTACACTTCTACAATAAACTGTGCATCCCTTAACTTAAATCAAACGAGAGGTCAAACGAGTTCGTTGCTAGTGTTTATCATTTAAGCAGCAAGCAATAATGGACGTTGGTTATAGTTAGTAAATGGCCCGAAAATGAGTGAAAACATCCTTCGGGGCTACGTGGACGTGAAAATATCTTCGAGAAGCAAACGAGGGTTAACGCCCTGGAAGGTGAGCTACCGTTCAATAGAAAAAAAAGCATTTTTATTGAGCGTTTTTGCGCCAAATTTCGTTTTTTTTTGTTTCGATAGAAAACGATCCGTTTTTATAAAAAAAAAGAGGTTCTGTTAAGTATCCGAATATTTTTCTTGAATTAGAAAACAAAAATTTGTTTTTGGGTTAAATATTTTATGAATGACGAATTTTGTAGGGATTAAAGTTCAAATAACTCCTTATTTGTGTAGCGACTTTTGTTAATAGACGTAATACGGTTTGGTTCAGTAAACAAGTGCTTCGAATATCTGAAAGATGATTCGGAATTAGGATTACAGTGCAAGTGTACTTAGTCGCTGTTTATTTAGGCCTGGAAACGGCAGTGGTGCGAAATTAAGCGGCTTGATGACATAGAAAATGGGGTGGAACTCAAGCTCAAATCGAGTGCCGATGGAAACCCTCTCAATTGCCTCAGAGTGCCACGTTCGGCAACCCTCTGCCGCACGGATTCGCGCACCAAACAATACGCTTTCGGTGTTTTTAACCTGACCAAAAGCAAGAAACCACTTCTTTTTCTATCGGGATGTTCGGAGAGCGATTCTCAAGAGTGGATGTTGTCTATAAGAAAGATGCTTTCGATCGCTTCTTATATACCAGTTGGAGATTCGAATTTTCATGTATCCCTTGTTGACAATAAGCATTCGAGGGCGGCTGGGCTGCTTGGACTATTTGGTGTGTTAGGCGTGAGCCCTCAGGGTATTGCGGTGTGCGATCCATGTACAGGTGAACCAAAAATTACATGGAAATGGTACCAGTTTCATCAGTTCCACATGCAGGCATCATTGAGGCAGCTGGACGATAAAAAGATTGTCGTGGTGCATACCAGTGGGTGAGTGTGCAATAGTAAATTTTGATAAGTGTTGAACCATTTTATAGACTTTCTTTTAAGTCTTACACAATCAATTTTTATTTTATTTGAAGTTTATTTGACAAAAAAATGTTCTAATTGCCTGAAAAATCTCAAATCGCGTCCCTTGTGCCTACGATGTGAAAAGTTGTTGCTATCCGCATAGAGAACGCGGAAGCTTTCCGCAGATGCATTTATTTCTGTTTTCTCAAAGGGATTTTCCTGCGGGACCTGGTCAGCTGCATCTCTACTGCGGTGACGGACCGCGCCTGCTTCAGTATCTGGTTTCCCGAGGGACCGGCCCAGGTCTCGTCAGCGCAAAAAGGTAAACACATTCCCGTCGCTGGGACAGGCTCCGATTCACAAAGATTATGTGCTTAGGTTCAGTCTCAGCGAGGGAGACTTGTGCTTGGGGGGTCGGTGTTGCCCGACGGGCAGTCCCCATTGTATCCGGAGCCAGAGCGAGAGCGACGACTCGGGTTTGCCCATATCCAGCGTCTCGGAGGACCTCGAATGTGGAGCCCAGCTTGGCGTCAGTATGATAGCCAAAACGCCGGGAGGCAGCGAGACCGAAGACTCCTTTGTTGATTTGACCGAGGAACCATGGTAAATTACACTTTTATCCAATTTTATTTATGATATTAAGAAAAATGTCCAAATTTCTATATTCACAAATTAGGGTGATGTTTACTCCTAACCATTTTACCAAATATACATTTCGGCACACTTATTTGCTCAATTATTTCCCTAAAATTAAAATTCTGATCAAGTAACACGGGTCCATCCTTATTTCTACAGAATGAAGTCGCCACTGCAAAATTTTCAATCTTTAGGAATTCAATTTCATCTTCGTGGAAAAAGTGTTCTGTTATATATTTCTTCTTTAATGCCCCTAATAGATTGTGAGTTATATTAAAGCATAGGAAGGCTTATCCTCTCTTTTTTGTGTTCACGTCACTATTAAGTGCTGTCGAGGTGATTAATTTGCCCATATTTCTGGGATCTGTCTTGTATGCATAAAATGGTGGTCCACCATTATACCTTGTCAAACGTCAAAAACATACTATATGTACATGTATATATATAATATATGTTCTCCACACACACATAATTAAGCTAAAAAATATTGTTAATGAAACACGATTTATAGGAAAAGAAATCTTAAAGCAATGAAAACCCTGCATTTTATTTTTGTGTTTTGGAGTTTCTGTTTATTTTTCCTTTGTATATATGTATGAAACAAAACAATAATTAATACAATTAATACAAATAGTAAATAGCCAACATTGTGTCTTCTTTTGCAACGAGTACATATAAAGGCATACATAGGTCGCAACTCAATGTGTATAACCATTATTTACGCGTAACCGGATTCATTGTCTGCGCGTGTTGCGTAAAAGTTCACTCGTTTAACGGCAGATGTCGCATTCGCAGCGCTTCGAGAATGGTACGCAACGAGTCCGAGGTGTCGCTATCATCGGGGGTCTACGAGGAGATTCCTGATTTTGACGAATGGGACCGACCTGCCACGCCTGTTTGCCACATCTACGAGAATCCCGCGGAGCTGGTGTTTGGCGACAAGATTGGTCGGTTGTTCAGCCCGCCTCCGCCTCTGCCGCCGCGGACCATGACGTTGGGCCGGCCCATTTCGAGGTGGGCGGAGTTCAAGACCCGTTGCAATACGTTGCCCGCGAAGGATCTGTTAAAGGTTTCGCAGAGGTTCATGGCCGATTCAGAGTACGTGGTGATGAGTCCTGCAAGGTCTGTCGTGGAAGGTGTATATGTCCCCATGTTCAAAGCCAATGCCGTCGAGAGTTATTACATCAGTATGGGCGGAGGCGCAGGGAACACTTAACGCCGTGTTGCTGGTTCGAATTCTAGCGTATAAGGCGGTTAGACTGCGGTTAGATTAGGTTATAGTGGACGTTTGTTACCATATCGACGATGCGTCGGGCTGACCTGACCCAATAATACTACTACTGTCTATTGTTTTTCATATTCTATTACATTTTAGAACATAGATATTTCGAACTTTATTAGCAAAACCATGGATAGAACAGCAGACAAATTTGGTATACTTTGAATACATTGTCCCCTTGATTAGCAAAAAATATTAATTCCAAATTGTTACCATTGTTTATTTCACCAAAAACGTCTGTTTTTCAAAAAAATATTGGTGCCTTGGTTACAGCAAAAACACTTGTTTATGGGTCAGGCCACGCTCATTAGGTTTAAAATGGGAGGGTGCTGCGATTTCCCGACGACTGACGGCCGAGACGACACTCCTCTCGTGCTCACGATTAGGCGTCCGGTGGGCGGGGCGTTGAATCGGTCATATCAAGTATAAGTTGGAGACTGATCACAGTTTGTAGCTTTCCGCGTGTGCTCACCGGCTCGATGTTGCCGCTTTTCGTGACTGTGTGTGTTTGTTTATGTCGATGCGGATTTTAGAGAATTGAAAAAAACATGACAAGTGCGTTAGCGAAGATGCTCGCGCTCCATTTCGATGTGATACTTTTACGACTGACCCGTAAGGTGGATTTTTTGATATGTGCGTTTTTCTTTGTCAATAAATTATTTTTTTTTCGTACGTTTTTGTTTTATTGATGTCTCAAGTGGTCATTCACAAAAATAAGGTTACAAACGATTTGGTGATTGTTGTCTTGACGTCGCATGTCTAGGGTTTGGTACTCGAAAACGTACGGGCTCTTTGAACCTTCGGGAATAATATCAAAAATAGTTCTGGTGACGTTTCTACAGATTCGCTTTAAGTGTGGTCAGGGTTTTTAGTTCCGCGATGGCCCTTCTTCCAAAATTCGATTTTTAAGTTTCGCGCCATATATTGGTTTTTAAAAGGCTTTGTACTACTCTCTTCTGTAAAATACCTATACGCCGATCTAGTGTGCGGGAAGCATCACTTTATCACATCAATTTCTTGTCCTATGCATGCGAGCCACTTCGGACATTTCTGGGATATTACTGCACGGGTTTGGGAGCAATTTGGATGTTTTCTGAGATTTTACAGCCCGGCTTGAATTTTGACGTTTGTCAATTCTGATGGTCATGTCAGTAAATGTATTGTTTGTGTGTGTGTGTGTGTTGTTTTGCAAAAATGTACCCAACCACTAAGGGTCGTAGAAAAAGTATAGTATGCAACACGTTTGGAAAACTTATGTCACTCTTTTATTAAACACTAGTTATTTCACTAGCGAAGATTCAAGAATTCTGACCCAGCAGAGTCCTATTTCTACATATAAAAACGTAGTTTAACGGTGTGGACGCAGAGTTCTGTCTAAATATGTTATTGTAACAGAAAATTTTAAACGGTTGTAAATTTAAATAAAGTTTTTTAAAAAAGGCAACGGTCGTCCCGAGTAGTTTCTTGGCGCAGTCGGTAGGATTTCCAGAAATTGACTAGCGCACCGCGTCGCGACGTCGATTTTTTTTCGTATCATCGATTAATTGGAAATCGGACCTATTGGTGATTAGTGTTTGGCAGAGTGGATTTCTGAAAATCGAAAACCCAAATCTATCGAAGACGTGTACAGAACACGATCATCGGAAACTAGAAACCATATTGTCTAGTTTCGCAAGGACAAGAATTTTTGTGAAGACCAATATAGCCGATCGAAGTCTTGTTCTTATAGAAGGGATGACCAGAACCGCCCCTTATCTAGTACTGTAAGTTACAATTATTTGTTAATGTCGGAATTTGACGAAATAACTGATAATATTGAAACGTTAGCTATCGATTCAAGTAATAATACACCTTCAACCAGCTCAGGTCTACTACTACTTTTAAATCTGAATATCTCAACTGCATCCCAGAATTCGATGGGAACCCAAACGATTTATCTAGATACCTAACTATTTGTCAAACTTTTATTGATAAATTTTATAATGTTAGAGAACCTAACTCTTTCGAAAATATTTACCTGTTGAATTGTCTAATTAGTAAATTGAAAGGAAATGCAAAAGTTGTGATCAATCTTCAAACATCCAGTACTAAATATTTTGTATACAAATTTCGCGGACCAAAGAGACGAATCACGTCTTAACACAGATTTATTGATGCCAACAGCCAAATGAAAAACCGACTCAATTTTACGATCGAGTTTTGCATATCCTAAATTTGATTTGTTCAATTATTGATATGTATGAAACGACTAATGAAGTAAAACAAATAAAACGTAAACTCTATAACGACCGTGCTTTGAAAACATTTTTGTCGGGCTTAAAAGAACCTATTGGTACAACCATTAGATGTATGCAACCTGTCGAAAGCCTTAACATTTGTAATGCAAGAAAGTAACACGCAATATTTTCAAAATATGACCAAAGTAGTTCAAAATCAGCCACCTCCGAATTTAAAACATAATAACCAGCATTTCCAAAATTTTCGTCCTAAACAAAATATACAATTTAATGGGAATAACCGAAATCATTTTAGACATCAGCAACAAGCATTTCCCACCGGTCCAACTGATATTAGGCCAGTTTATAAACCCCCGCAAAAATACTATACAAATTCACAAGTTTTTGGCAGACCCCAGAATGTCTTTAGACCCAACCAAATTAAAAATCTACCTCCACCTATGCCTATGTCTGTGTCTACGCGCAACAGTGGCAGACCAAATTTCAATAACCAAAATAATTTTAAAAATACTCCCGTTTCAGCACATATCAAAAACCGAAAAAAATATAAGTCGAGGAGATGTACAACAAGGAACTCGATCAATTCGATCAATCTAATCAATTTGATCAATGTTATTATGACCCATATTACCCTGACTATTGTTCATATTTTAACAGCCATTATCAGCAAAATAATCCAGAGTATTTTGTACCTTTGGAACAACCCGCAATTCAGTCTGATAGTTGCACTCTGAATGTTTTCAGTCGGTACCCACTACGTCATTATCTGAAAATGATAACGAGTTATGTGAAAATGTAAATTTTACGGAAGCTCCGCAATTAGACAAGAAAACTTAACACCCACGCATATTTCTTTAAATATGTCAAATTTAAGAGAGTTACCTTATATTATTTTTCCCGAGCACAACTTTAAAATATTGATAGATTCCGGATCAACAAAATCCTTTATAAGACCTGATTTAGCACAGAAATTCTATCCAAATTGCGTTCGCTATGACCCATTTATTGTTTCTACATGTTACCAGAAATCCGCCCACAAATATAGTTCTTTGTTACCTTGATCGGAACCGATAATTTAAAATTACTGCAAGCAAGTCTAAACTTTGAAAAATCTTATCTGATCACTCCATATTACAGAAATGAAATTATCTTTTCACCAAACAAGACAAAACAATTTAAATTTTATAACTATTGCACCTCGCTGTGAACAAATTATTAATATAAAAACTAGAATTAGGAATGGAAAAGTAATTATTCCACACCAAAAAATTAATAACTGTGAGATTCCTGAATGCTTGACTATAACGCCAAATGGAAAGGCTCTTACCTCCATTTTATATAATACTTGCGATCCCATTACTTTAGATTATTCTGAACCAATCACAGTTGAAAAATTTTGCAAAAAAGAAAAATCAAAATTACTCTATTCAAAAATCAATCAAGATCTAATCGAAAATAAAACAAAAATAATTGAAAAACGAAACGAAACCCGTGACAGTCCGGACCTGTTTTAAGCCAACCAACCAAACATAAACGCAAAGAACTTGGAGACAAATTCTCAAAATCCATTGAAATTATATCCGCGGCCCCGAGTGACGTACGGTAGCAACAGATACGCAAGCAAAATTACATAAAAACCGCTTAGAAACACGTACAGCTTTGATTAAATTCCGTTAACATTAGGTTTTACATTTCAGGCTTGTCGGCTTTACTTGTGGCCTTTATGATGAAATAACTTCAAGAAAATTGGACAACAACCCCGGAATTATGCCAGTAAAATTGGGAAATGCAAAATCAATCGAATACACTTACACTTTAGTCCATTATTTTGATTTAAATCCAATAATATTGGAAACTAATAAATTATATTTAAAAAAGGAAAATGTCTCAAAAATAATATCCAGCCACCCGGGATATTACAATGATAGTCAAAATTATATTAAAAATTAAACATTTTGGAATCTAGGATTGAAAATAAAATTATAGAAATCCTTCCGCATCAAAAAATATCTAAGAGAGGGCTAATAAATGTACTCGGATCTGTTTTTAATAAGGCTCTCACAGAAAATCTTGACTCATCTGACGGCGAGCATTATGAACAGCTTATTAAAAACTTGCAGTGCAACCAAAATGAATTAGCCGAAGGCATTCTAAAACAAATTTCTTTATCCCTTAACATCCTTATAAAATTTTACCAGACTTGGCAGAAAATGTGTCAAAATTACAAATACTTAGAGCCAAAGATCAATCAAATAGCACTTATTGTTCAAAAGTCAGCCTATAGGGAGAACGCACTAATTATTAAAGATATTTTGGTACAAATGATTAACACCTATGAAGTAATTTTATCAATTTTACAAGACTTAGAAAATTTAATAACTCTTTCTCAAAATTTAAAATTATTCACCCAAGTATAATTAAGATTAGCGACTTATTTAGAGAACATCTTATTTTGCAAACCAAAGTTGGAAAACACAAAATGATTATACTTGTAACGTTAGAAAACACTTTTATTTTTGAGAAATTAATTACCATTGATTGTTTTATTTTGAATAATAAAATCAATTACCTTTTGAGAATACCAATGACTAATCCAATAATTTTCGATTACTTTCATCTCTACTCAATCCCCATAAGACACGAGAGTTGATTTAGGGTTGTTTTACCGCATGCAAAATATTTTAAAAAAAGTGAATTGCAACATGCATACTATAATGGGCCCTGCAAGGACGCTACTAAAGGTCTATTCGTCTGCACCCAACAAGAAATCAAGAATAACGATAACAGCAGTCCTTGCGAAATAGCCTTGTTGAGCACAAATCCACAAATCATAAATTGCCACAAAACACAACTCAAAATCACCCAGCTAATAGTTAATCAACTAGAAAATTCCAATCAATGGACTTTAGTAGTTCCAGATGTACAGAGCGTTAAACTTAAATGCAACGCTCAGGATGAGATTCAGAATCTTCATGGGATCAATGGGGACAATCAAAATTGATCATCAAACAATTAGTGATGTCAACCTTAGTACTCAGCCAATATTATTTCCTGATCTGCCAGATATTCCAACACAACAAAGCCAGATGGATTTAACTGCCAAATTAAATGAAGTTAAGTTAGATGAACTAAACCTTTTAAGGGATTAAATTCAGTTAAATTACCCACTTCTGAAGTTCTCGGAGTTATACAAATATCCGAGCAATGGACCATCCTTGTATACATAGTAATAATCAGTTTGTGTCTATTTATTTCCTATAGAAGATTGTTACAGCCAAAATGCACCAAATCCAGCAAGAAACAGCAGCAAGAAGTCGAAGAACCTAAAGATCTAAAATGTGTTCTACTTCCCCTCTTGACGGTATAGTTGAAGCTTACGGGGGAGGAGTTATCTCACTAGCGAAGATCCAAGAATGCTGACCCAGCGGAGTCCTATTTCTACATATAAAAACGTAGTTTAACGGTGTGGATGCAGAGTTCTGTCTACATATGTTCTTGTAACAGACAATTTTAAACGGTTTGTAAATCTAATTAAAGTTTTTTAGAAAAGGCAACGGTCGTCCCGAGTAGTTAATTCACTCTCCCCGCTCGTGCCAAATATACTTGGATGCGCGACTCAAATGCCGTTTACCGCACTTGTTGCATATTACTCAAAAAATGAATGTATTTTATGTTTGTATGTTTATGTAACAAAAAAAAACTCCATATTGTTTTCCGTGCTTACTGTTTGGAGGCGATAAAGCTTGGGCACAAATAGGGGCCACCGATCTAGAACATTCCAAGTCTGAAAAATTCTAAGACACCTTTTGAATTTGGGTTATTAGGGCTCAATTAGATTCTGCTTATTGGGCAAATATACAGAAACATAATGAAAATGTGTGAAAGAATAGAAGTATTTAATGAAAAATTATTAATTGTACTAAACTTTGCGGAGCGTTTAAATTGGAACTCCGCGGACATGGTGGGAGCGAAAGTTCCGAAAATCCCAGAATATTTCGCACTTATTAATTTTTGAGCTGAATTATATACAACTGTAAGTGAGCACCTAAAAAATTCTCGGATATTTAAGGCCACTGTCAAAGAAATTCAGAATGATCTGATCTGAATTATAATTGTCCGTTTTTGGTAATCATGGTGGACAAAACAATGGAAGTTTCTGGAATCTCAAACGGTAATTATTTTTAGATATGTTCGCGATGGTTAATCAATTGAACATTTTTTGGGCTACTTAATAGCTGAAAGATGTGATGACACTTAGTAAGTAAATGTTGACTGTTATACACCCTTTAATACAAAATTCACTTAACAAACTGATTGCGCCGAGAGTAGCGGTTACAGCTGACAACACGCACGCGTTCACACATTAAAAGAAAGTACCCTTATGCTCATTATGTACATCAGTAAAATTTGATTATGTTTAAGGCAAGTACGTATGTATTTTGGAAATTTACAAGATATTACTGACTTTTGTAATAATTGAACCCAACGAGTGGAAGTTCTAAGCAAGATTGTGAACAGGATCCCCACAGCGCTATATGTCATGTACGAAAATTGACTATATGCATGAAATAGAGGAATAATTCTCCAACACTACCGTCTGTAGTGCAGCTGCCTCTATTCGCCGTACATTAAATAATCTGATATTTCATTTTTGGCTGATCTTTTTTCATCTTTTGATGCCTCACTGTTCAATCAATTGCAGCAAAGAAAAATTGAACCGACTCTAGTACGAGATCCTATCGATAATTTTGAACGCAACATAACTGAGGTTCGAAATAATATCGATAAACTCATAGGTGAAGCATCCGGATACAATAAGCAATGAGCCGCCAGCAGAAAAAAGCAAACGTCAATCTAACAGTAGATTTGATCACGGGGTTTCGACTTGTGTATGATGTTATTCCAAATTGTGCAAGAGATTTTATTTTAAAGAGCATCTAATAGTCGCATCACTTTTCCATTCGGAATACGTTGGAGAGTATTGCAGTAAATTTCCTGACGATAAATTTATTTCAGCATGTTCCTATTATCCCACACTTGATGAACGATCGCGAACTGAACTGTCTATTATTTATTTAAGATAAACACCTCTTCTAAAATTTTTAATAAAAAATAATCTAGGAGATACGTTTAAGGACAATAGACAATTACTAGAAATTGTGATAACAACTCACACGACAACAGCAACAGCAGAAAGTTTTTCCACATTAAATCGAATTAAAACTGTTCTCATAGAAAATATTCATGATAAAGTGGTTACAAAATGTGCGACCCGAAAAGAACGTAGGATAGACTTAATTTATAAGAAATAGTTTGTAACATAGTTATATAGAATCTGTCCCACAGCATAACTTTATAATTTGTTTAAATTGTTCATGTCAGTCTTTTAAAAGATCTGTATTTCCTTGAAAGAATTGTATGCTTAGTGCCTCTCCTTGACTCTTATTTTCTGACCTTTTCAGGTTTTTTTGATTGGTGTAAATCGAGTCTCTTTTATCTAGTGAAACACATTCTACGGGACAGGGACATCTTAAAATAATAAAAAAACACTTTGCATTATCACTTTATATACAACTAAATAATTTGTTATGTACACATGCAATGTTGAAGCGATTTCCGTACAATTTAAGACGAAAGGAAAGAAGAAAAAAGACGAAATACAACTCTGCCCGTTAAACCCTACCGACAAAAACAAACTGGAAACTAAACCATCGTCTACGCGACATTCAATTAACCGACACGTTGGGCAGCCACCCGCTGCGGCTTAGAAAATTGATCACTTCGAACTGAACGTTCGTTTCTTCGCTGTCGGGTTTAGAATCACCCTTTTCGATGGGAGTGTCCTCTGCCCCCGAGTCGTCGGAATCATCCGCCTCTGCGGTGTACTTTCCTGGCGACAGCAGGTTATCCTGCAAAACGCCTGTCTAAGATTAGAGCTAAGATCGACCTTCACCATAGTGTCAACTGGATGAAAATGACATTTTATGAAATAATTTATCAACGGAAATGTTGAAGATATATACTTTACACACTACGTAATACCACAGTAGCTTACCTTTTTTGGTCCCTAGGGACTAGTCTTAAAATAAAAGTAATTTAATCATAAATATTGTAGTATATGGTGGGAGAGAGAGAGAGAGATGGCAATGCTACAGAGCAGTGTTTTGAATATATGCATTTTGATGAATCAGGTTTTAAACGCTGACGTTGAGTTAACCCAAATTCAACTGTGTTTGAAGGTTATCAGTCCGCTTGTTACAAAAAAAAGTAAATGTTTTCATGAAGTGGCGGATATATCATGACCACACACAAATATTGTGTTTTTACAACCGACTCAGTGATGAACTTTGCCTACTGTTTATTACTGCAAAACCGCAAACCTTATAGAACACCCTGCCGAGCAGACCCTTACCCGTAACCATTCCAGGTTCGTCCTAGGAATTTATCGATCTACATTCACAAGCGGGGTATAAGTGTGTTTTCATTACTACAAAGTAACGATTTATTACGTTATATTTCTTTACATTTCTACGTAGTATCATATATCAAAATATTAAATACAATAAAAAAGTCACTTAAAAAATCGTCACTGTGTCAGTTCAATGATCAACTCCGCCACTAATCGTTCTCGATAAATATTTTCTTCTTTTATTACTCGTTATTCACAGTTAGACCAACTTTGTACTGAAATTTTACCTATTTAGCTCTTGCCGAATTAAGTTTATGGTACTATCATTAAATTTGGGTGCAGTATTAGTTCTTATATGCGCTTTTAATTCGGACCAAATCATCTCATTCGCGTTAAATATACAATGATACGGGAGTAATGTCAAGATTTAATATCCGTTTTGTTGTGTTATCGAATCTCTAGTCTTAAATACGTACTTACTGGGAGGATCACATTCAAATACTTCACTAATATAAACGAACATATACAATTTAGATTAAATTCTTAAGAACAATACATATCACCTGCAGCAAATTTAAAGCTACCCATTTACGTTTCAAATAAAAATTTCAAGTTTCTACAAATATTCGTTAGGGACCATCTCAGGTAAGACCTACTTAATGCAGAATATACATCTGTTGGGATGGGTTTTACCACGGTCCTGCCTGCGAAGGTCTGCGGTTAAGTTACTGTAAAATACTTAAAAAGTCAAAACAATAAACGCACAATATTTCTGGCCGTACAATACAACAAGAGTTTTTCACTATCAGGATCTAAAATTTTAATAAAATCAGCAGACATAGATGTCTTGATAATTTTACTTGGTAACATGCATAAAATTGAAGACCCTGAAATTTGTCTGACTTTGCTAAGCAAGAAAAATGGAATAGCAATGATCTGCATCAATTGTACCGAATTGGCATCAAAATTGGGACTTGATCTTTGCCTAGGTCTACCTGCTTTTCATACATACACTGGTTCAGATTATACTGCAGCTTTTTATAATAAAGGAAAAATAAGACCTTTCAAACTATTTTCGAAGAACCAAACATACCAAAAATATTTTGCTTCACTAACGGATGAAGCGGACGTTTATCTCCGAATCATTAAAACAAAAAAAATTAAATACTATTTTTTCAAATCAAGTGAACCCTGAAAATTGTGGTTGGTTCCTAGATGGCCATTTAAAAGCGAATGGATTTGAGGGAGACCAGCCTTTAAAAATGCATGATATTTTAGAAATGACAGAAAAAGAAAATAAAGAAGATTTTTCTGACTCATTCTGATCCTAATTAATTTATCATCATCTTATCTACTCCAAAACATTGCTTTATAGACAATTATATCCTAACGACGATAAGTATGTACAGTCTTTCTTTGTCTTGCACTTCTCTGGCTCCCAATTTTGTAATTTAAATGTCTCTAGAACTAGCGTCTATGACCAAATTTTTTGAGGCAACCATATAGTACAATATTTATGATTAAGTTACTTTTATTCTAAGACTAGTCCGGATTGGTTGACAAAATAGTGCAATTATTAACATCAACTTATCTGTTTGACTGCAGCTACCAAGTGATAGGGACCAAAAAAAAGTAAGCTACTGTGGTGTTGCATATTGCATAGAGTATATACTTGTCATTGGAGTTATTTTCGTTTGGTAGATATTTAAAAAATTTATAATTTTAATAAAAAATAATTTTGAACATTTCTTCAGAACTGTTTTTAATTGATAAAACATTATTTTTATCTGGTTGACACTATGGTGAATGGTCGATCTTAGTTCGGATCTTCTACTACAAATCCACGTGGCGACAAAAAACTTATTTTCTGGTCTAGACTAGGGCATTGTATTGCAGAAGTTGTGTTTTAGGTATTTTCAAGTGATGTAATGGTTTGAAAATGATTTAATTAATTTTAAAATACCTAGTGTCAAATTTTAAAAAACGTTTTTCCATAACCAGGTTGATAATCAGCTGGCCGATGTTTTTAACATTTCACTGCGGGGTACTCACGCTAACAAATGATGTGGCTCCATAAATACACAAACAAATATTATTGACACAAAATACACCGTCTATTTATTTTTTCATTTCTAAAAAATATTTGTCCAGTTAAGTAACTAAAATTCCATAACTTCGCCAAAAAAAAAACTTAAATCTATTGACTTAAAAAGGCTTTTTTAAATTCCCACTAAAAACAAAAGAAAATGAAGGACTTTTCAAACATCTTCCAAATCCTGGATTATAAAAACAACTTTTCTTATTGATTTTTGTCAAAAACTAAAAACCAAGGGCCAAGACGAAATTTTACCTACCATAATAATGAGCGACTTCATGGTGACGTAGGCCATGGGCACTAGGTTGAGGTCGGTGCAGAGCTGCAACGAAAATAAAAAATAAATAGAAATAAATGTAACTCGTTGCCGAAGTACTTGTATCTCGTTACGCGACAGCAACGACCCCATCGGCAGTTTGGCGAGATCGGGGGCCGGCACCGCCGCCTCTTGGCTACTGGAGCAGTTCGAATTGTTGCTGAAGCTGCTGCTGTCGTTGCTGCTGGATGAAGCGCAGCCGCCGCTTGGATCCGACGTGGATTTTTCGCCGGTGAAATCTTGATCGCTTTCTACGCTTCTGCAACCCAAAAAAGAGGACAGTCAGTGGTGGCAGTGAACGACCACACCCCTTTTCCAACTTACCCGTTTACGGAGCGCTGCTCCGTGCGCGTCGCCACCGATCCACTGCTGCCCTAAGTGAAATGAAAACTGATACAATGTGATTCGATTATGTTCCTCTTCTGGCGTGAATGAATGAATTGTCCCAAATTGTTATGTAGGCGATTCAACATTTATTAAGGCACTAAATATCATAAATAAATCGAAGACTTAAAAATAATAAAACAAAAAATTCGTTAAATTTCCTCAACAAAAAAGGGGAAAACTAACTTGTATATTGGACCTTAGTTTTTTAACCTAATTCATATTTTGGAAAAGCATGGATTTTCTGAATATTTTAATATGTAATGCATATTTTAATATATTGAAAAATTATTTAAAATTTAAAATTTAAAATTATTATAAATCATTTGGTCTAATTTTCGGAAAATGAAGTCTTATGGACTTGAAAACAAATTTACATTTTACCGTGTCCTGTTATATTAAGAAAAAATTAAAACTATTTTCGTGTTGTTGGTATCAAACACATTTTCTTAAATTTTCCCAAAACAGAAAACAAAAAGAGCTGTTTAGATTTGACTTTCTTATAAGTGAACTATAGAAGCTAATTATTTTTTTGCATACTCCTTAATTAACATAAATAAATAAGTGATTTATTTACCCTACATGTATATATAACAGTCAATTTTTTTTTGACCCTTGTACTTAAAGTATGAATGAAAGTTTAAATGAACTTTTAAGATAATAAATGAAGAAATACAGTTGAAAGTTTTAGATTCTTGCATTATGTGTACTAGTTGTTGAGCCAGGAATACTTGAACAACAGCAATGGATTAGCATTTTTACATATAAAAGAAAAAACAATGAACATCAAAAAATATCTTGATTTTAAGTTAAACTAGTTTATTGCCAACATTATTATAAAGTTTGTAAATATTGAAAAGATCCTTCAAACTTTTTTAGTTTCTATCGTGGTAGTGAAATAAGTCCGGGAAATCGTAAAGCTAAATTATGCACTCTGTTTGACAAGTAATTTTTTTTTAATCAATTTGGGGGGCATTTGTTGTCATAATTTTGCGACACAGACAAACCAAATGCAGATTTCGTTCGTAGTCGTCCGTCGCTGGGTCCAAAAATCAAAACTCACAGATTTTTGTCTGGCCTGTTGCCGCTGATAGGCCGCATGCTGTTCGAAGTGGATGATATCCTGCTGCGTGAGGAGGCCCAGGCTGCGGTAACGCGTCAGGTCCGCAAGCCGGTGACGCAACTCGCGTTCCCGTTCCATGCTCGAGATTAACCTCTCGTGCTCGCCGCACGACAGGAACTGTGCAAATACCCGCATCTTGTCACGCAACTCTCTGAAAAAAGAGACACTTTCATAATAAGAAATTTGAGGAAATATTTGAACAAAATCGAGTATGCTTTTTCCCAAATTAACAAATAAAAATCCCTGTCCCGCTGGTCTAGCCTTGCGCGGGTCCCAAAGAAACACGGGCTAGTTGAGATATACCATAGAATTAATTAGTCAGGGCAGTGCTGGCGGTTGTTCAAGTTATTGTGGGGGTCGGGTTGTGTTCTTTCTCAGACAGGATTACGAATAAGTATGTAAACAGCCACAATTAAAATAAAGTTTTGTGTGGGTGCCGGGGAGCGAACCGCCTGCATGGATGGTTGAAAATAACATATAACAACCATAGAGTGCAGCGCCTGTAGAAATAAGAGAGAGACGCACAGATGTGATGGATGCTCGCAGCCATTCTGTAAAGAATGTATTGAATTGGCGTCTTATGCGATAAGAGTTATGCAGTTAAAAGAACAAAAACTTTTTTTTTTGCCCAAAATTTTGCTTGAGGCTAAGAACCGACTTATACAAAGTAGGGATGAAATTATTAATCTCTTTAAGGATGATATAGACCGTTTGAAAGAAAAAGTAAGTCAAATTAGTCAGGTGCAAACTACCAACGCAAACATAACCGCTTAAGAGACTGATGTTTTCACCTAAAACATTAAGCATAATCAACATGCCTGGTCTGATAATAAAACCAAAAGAAAATCAAACCGTAGAGGAGGTGAAATGGTGAGTTGAGGAAAATGATAAAATTAAACCAGCAGATATAAGTATCGGTGTCAATAAAATTAGAACAACTGCATCTGGAAAAGTATCAATAAGATGTAGATCAAAGAAAGACATGGAAAAGCTGAAGAAAAGTGCCCAGGAAAATCTTCAGAATTACGAAGTAGAAGAAGTTAAGCTAAAGCCCCCGTGGATCAAAATATTAAATTATAACTATAACTATAAAAAAGCAGAATAAGTTTATGAATAAAGAAGATAAGCTGGAAGTGAATTTTATAAAAAGGACAGAAAACAGAGAGTCAATAATTTTTGTGGAGTGTTCTCCCAATTTGTTTACCAAGCTAATATATAATAGAAAAAAACATTGGTTGGGAGCGATACATTGCCATAGATGATTTGTGTCTTACAAGATGTTTCAAACGTCAGATATTTTATCATAAGAGTAGTGTAGTCACCCAAAGCAAGAATGTTCTGCACAGATTAAGAAGTGTGTCAATTATGTTGAACCAAATGGAAAACATAACAAAAAACACAAAATAAAACACTCTGCTGATGATCTACAGTGTCCAACGTACCAGTATCACCTACATGTCACGCGAAGCAAGATTGACTACAGTTGTAAAAATGGCTAGTGTAAATGAAGCAGAGTTGTTGGACATCATAAGTGAAGACATGCATAGTGAGGTGATTGGTGAAGTTGATATTTCAGCAGCAATAGGTGCAATAAAAGGAACAAAATTTAACATCATGCCTAGTAATATAAGAAGCGTTTAAAAAAATTGAGGAGTTACTCACATTTTTAGAGACATTTAAAATACATTTTTGCGATGTCATAATATTGACTGAGTGTTTTCAGCTTGAATCTGTTTCACATTTTAATATTCCTCATTACAAAACGCATTATAAGTTTAGTCAGAATAATAGAAATAATAGAGTGCTTGTGTTTATAAAGTCAGACTTGAATCCGTGCATAACAACACAGCTGGAAACATTCAACATTGTAGTAAGTAGAATAAGCTTAAAAATTAATAAAATAAAATATGGAGTTAATGCTTTGTACAGATCGCCACAGGGTTCTATTGGCATCATAAGTAGGATGGTTGGGGATGTCGAGATTCTTGTGGGCGACAATAACATTAATTTGCTGAATACGGAATATTGTACCATACTGTCGGGTTCTGGATTCGAGTCTTATATAAATCGTGTTACTCGACTAGCTAGCGGGACATATTTGGATCATATCTTTCTTAAAAATAGATTGAAGGTCGAAAATCTTCATTTTACCTTTTATGTAATCAACTATGACATAACAGATCATGATCCCATCATGTTAAACATATCAAATCCAGAGCAACAAAATAGCAAACCCAATGTGAGAGTAAAGACTATATATAGAACAAATTATAACGCACTGAGACTTAAATTAGAATCTGAAAACTGGCAAAAATTCCAAGAGGAGGGGAATCCGCAGATTGCGACAGACCGTTTTATAGAAACTTTTCAGTCCTATTTAAATCAATGTAGAAGAGAAGTTAAAATAAAAGAACGTAATAAATTGAAACAACTCCAGAAAAATGACAGCATTGCTAAAGAGAATCAATATATGAACTACAGAAATAAACATAAAGTTCTTTTGTCTAATGTTAAGAATAACTATTATAAGGATGAAATCGAAGAAAACAAGAATAATCTCAGGAAAATCAAGTAGTTTCAGATGCGTTTAATGAAGATAGTCGAAATCAACTTATAATTTTCAAATTGTAAACCACAATAATGAGAGTTTTGATAAAGATATTAACATGGCCAACTTCTGTAACCAGTACTTTGCAAATATAGGCGGAGAAATCAACAAAAAAATTGCATCTAATGACAGTTTGGAGTTTGACTTTCCAGGAATCAGTGGATCAACGTCTCTGGAGCCAGTGAAACATATTCACAGTTTAATGACGGCATAATGTCCAAAGATATTAAAATGTTTCACAATCTTATAATTTCACCAATTAAATACATAATTAATTTAATATTCACAAAAACGAATAGACAAGTATAGGTAGGGATGCCTAGAAGTGAATTCTATAAAAATAATTTTCAATATTTGGCGCCTACATTATACAATTGTATGATAATTTTTCTACTGTTATAAAATTTAAAACGAAATTAAATGAAGGGACTGCTAAAAAATTATTGTTGAAGTTTATTTAAGCGTAAAAAAGGCGGTATTCTACACATAAAAAAATGATGTAGCAAGACGTCTTATGAGTTCTTCGGTTTGACCTGCTTTGAACCTTGCGTGAAAAAGTTACCCAGGAGTGGGAACTTTAATCATTTTTTGCTGAATTAGTGAAAAACAAAGATGATACTATACAAGCAAAACAACCAAAATTTAGGTCCCTCACCTTTGTTGTTTGGGTACCTGCGCCTTCATCTGGTCTTTCCTCGAATTGTTGAAAAACTTTCGGACAAGCTGGTAATCGCGAACGATTCTTTTCCTTCTTGACCGCTCGCGCAGCCGTCTTGAGTATATGTCAACTATGGCGAGTTTTAACGCTTTCTCCACCTCGCCCTCGTCCTCCACCTCGAGCTGCAGCTCGGCGACGAGTTGCTCGGAGCTTGGAGAATATTCCTTTAAAAGGCAGAGTGATTATTATATCTTACGGATTTTTGAGAAAGAAAAAGTTTAAACTATGCTTACCCAGTGTATACACAGATGCAATAGATGCAATCAAACTAGCTAAATTAGCTTTTGCACGGGACTACAGAAGACAACTAAACTATTTATAAATAATCATTTACCCTTTCGTAATCGTCTCTGTGTGGCTTATACCCCAACCACGCAGCCTCCTCGGGCGTGCAATCCAACGGAGGCAGCCTGGAGAGGGCGTTCTGGGATAAAGGACCATTATCTTCTGGAACGTGGTTGACGAAATTCAATTTGTGATTGGCCAGTTGGGCCCAGGTGGCCCTGCCGATGTTCCCGTCCAGGTAGCGCGAAATATACTCCTCTTTGCACTCTACAAACGCATTTTGAGCCGAATCGTCAGTGTGAGGAAAATTTCCGACATACCTTCAGCTGTACGGGTACCAACATTCTTAGCGACAAGTTCCCAATTCCCATAAGCGTACAATTCGACCGCGTCTAACAGCTGCAGGTGTTCCCTGCCGGTCCAAGAGCCCCTACCGCCGAAAATACTCACCGAGCAGTTGTCCTACACAGCAAAATTTTCACTTAAATCCTATCAAAAAGGGAGTAATAATAAAAACTTACCACAAATCTGTATGAGTGGTCGTTCTTATGTGGACCTATTTCGGCACCCGACGCGAAACACTGGAACAAAAAGCGTACTAAAATAACATAACCAACAAAAATTATTCAAATTTCGCGGGGCCATTGACAAAAGGCAGTGGGTCACGTCACATGACCTTGACGTACCAAGTGGCAAATATCGAAATTGGGACATTCGCAGCACTGAATCCGCACCCCACTAATTTCCTCCTGGCAGTACGTGCAATTAACTTTGGCGAAAAGATCTGCAAACAGAAAACCAGGATATGAACGCTTAGAAAGAGCGAATTTGGTTTATAGCGTCCTCACCAGCCATATTGCGCTGCACACGTCAACGGCAACTGTCAATTGTTCGGCGAAGCTTGTGGGCGGCGTTTAGAAGAAAGTCGATCGAACACAAAAACGCATCGCACGCGTTTCCGTTAATTTTTTACGCATACGTTAACTAAGCAAGCGCCCGAGATTCCTTTTCTAATTCCCAGGGTTATCGCAAACAAATTTAACCGACGATGCTTTGACGCCACTACGAGCAGCACTCCAACAATTAGCAGAAATACGGCTGGGAACAATCGAACAACACAGGCATAACAGTATATCAAAACTTACTACCCAATCGATAGAATGCCCCACTGACCACTGAACGTAGAACCATAGATAAATTAACTAGAGGTTAAGCCAAAGTTAATTAGAGACGATGCACCTTGAATTAACAAGTTCATTCTAGGCAACAGCTGATTGTCAAAATAATCATGTTTTAACCGTTAATTATGGCTAACGCGGAAGTGGAGAAAAAACTAGCGCAGTACAGGGCAAAAAAACAGAGAGAGGTTCGCTTGAACGCGTGTAAAGCTAAAATCAAGTCAGTGTTTTCCTATTTCAATGCTAATGACAATCTGGAAGCCGCAAAGGCAAGTCCGTTGTAAGTGAAAAAAACGTGTAATATAGGTGATTTATATTTCAGGTTCCAAAGATGCAAGAGCCCCTCATTAATGATGAAAATGAGAGTGGGGACGACAATAAAGAATCCGATGTAGAGTCTTTTGTATGTGAAAAAGCTTTTCACACACCCTTAACATTTCTAGATTACATCTATTACTTGTTGTGGTTTATATTGTGGACAATTTTGTTCGCGATCTTTATACATTATCAATTCGGTGTTGTGTATTTGATAGTTTCGGGTATCGTGGGAATGTATTTAAACACCAGGACCGGACCCAAGAAGAAAAATGAGGTTAGTGCCTATTCCGTGTTTAATAAAAACTGTGAACGACTAGATGGCACTCTCACTGCGGAGCAACTTCAGCGGGAAATGTTGTACGGCGGTTTGAGGTGATATTTTCTCATTATTAGTCAATCATATTTATTCGAAATTTTATGTATTTTATAGACCAGTATGTGGAAGATTAAGGATTTATTGTAATAAAATTAATCTTGCAGATTAATATGGGATTTAAAAGATAAATGTGTGTTTTATTGTCCCTAATCGGGTTTAACACTTATTTTTTAATAAGCAAATAGTAATACATTTTTACAAAATTTCTGGATTCCTCCTGCGTCGGTTTTTGCTCGCGAATCATGCATCATCGGAAGTTTTTGTAAAAAGTATGACAGTAGCCTGTGGAAGTTTCTTTGAAAAATGAAATAGTAATACAACCCACCAACCTAGAAGGTGGTAAATGTTTTGAGGGTGGTCTAATGCTACTGCTGGCCTTGTGTATTTTAACTGTGTAGAAATAAGCAAATATTTGTTTAGTTTCATTTGTAACTATAGTCAGTCGTGGCTTAAAAAAGAGACAAAACTTCTGTGGTAAAATATTTCTTTATTAAAATAACCTGGCAGAATCTGAAGAAAATCTCAATAAACATCAATCATCACTTGCGGATTGGCTCTGTTTCCCTCCACAACCATTCTTTGGCGTCTGTGTAACCTTGTTCTATCAACAAAGGCCCAACAATTTCGCGGCACTTTTTGTGGTACCCGTCGAGCTGTGTGATTTCTTCATTAGTCAACATTGTCACAGAAATTAGCTTGATAATCTTGGGCACCAAAGTAATGGTATCAAATGTCAAAAACTCTTTGCCAGAATAATTATATGGGGTCTGCGCTGGTATTATTTGGACGATATCTTCGATGCGAATGCCAAACTTACCGTCTTCATAGTAGCCGGGTTCGTTGGACAAGAACATATTTGGCTGTAAGCCAGGGTCTTGATTGATCGGCCTCCAAGAGATACCCATGGGACCCTCGTGGACGTTCAGATAATGACCGATACCGTGGCCAGTACCATGAGGATAATCGAGCCCAGCTTCCCACAGGTACTCCCTAGCGAACGAATCCAAATAGTTGCCCTTGATTTTCATTGGAAACACGCTCCTGGCTAATTTCAGTTGACCCTTCAGCACTCTCGTGTAGCATTCCTTCTCGTAATTGGTCGGAGTACCTGTATATTGAGTTTATTTAATGTCAAACAAACAGTAAATTTTGAAAGTGACTATGTATATTTAGTCTATGTCTAAAACAAACTTATAATATAAAAATAGACTCATAATTTGTCCAGAACTTCGTGAAGCACCAGCTTTCCATATTCCACAAAGAAATATTAATAAAACTGAATCTCTGCAATACTGTTTCCTAGCAGTAATTATTTAGCTGTCTCCTATCCAGAGAAGAAAAAAGTCTTTTTTAGTCAGTGAAACCGAAATATGTGGTTTTTACTTATCTAGATTTAAAAAGCGGATTAAGAAATTTATGTAGTTGGTTCAATAGGATTTTTTTTTTATTGCTGTATTTATCTGTCTTACATGCTGTGGGTTTAATAGCCCCCATACACATGCAGGCAAGTGTTAAGACTTGCCTGTACAGGTCGAGGCACGCGAGTAAGTGCGAATGTGTATGGGTCAAAACTCAAGGCGCTTTCAGTTCCAAGCGCGACTCGAAGCGAATCAGATTGTGTCTGATTTTTAGAGCGAAGTGCGAAGGCCAACTTCATTTTTTGCACAGCAGTAGGCCCCACCAAATGAAGAACCTCGAGGTTTACCTGAATAGTGTGTGGCCGCAATTCGTTTCGCACTTGCTCGCCTGCATGTGAATAGCCCCCATTATGTTAAATCAATTTTTCACTACAAATCGTCGCAAATTTAAAAACACTGTTACTTGTGGTTCTAATAGGCTTCCCTAGCATACAGAATTTTAAGTAAACATACCGCAACACCTATTATTGGCAACCATCTGTAGGGAAACAAAAACTCACCAAAATGCAACGTCCTGGTCACGTCGGTGGTGCCGTCGCGGAACTGTGCCCCCGAGTCGCACAGATACAAGCAGTCAGACCTAATGGGCGTGTCGCTGCTCGCATCGGGCTTGTAATGGATGATAGCCCCATGGGGCCCCACCGAACTGATTGTGTCGAATGAGTCGCCAACAAAATCGAGCTGCAGCTTCCTGAATTCATGCAGTTTGTTCGCTCCAGAGATCTCTGTGACCGTACCCTTTGGCACTTGCTTTTCCAGCCAGGCAAAATAACAGCACAGTGCCGCGGCGTCTTTGACGTGAGCGTTTCGCATCCCTCTTACTTCCACAGGGTTCTTTATCGCTTTCATGAGTTCAACAGGAGTTGTATCTGTCAACAGGAGGTGTTTTTTGGGCACTATGCTAGTCAAAGCATAGCTGGATGAATCGCTGAACCACACGAAGCCGCGGTCTAGAGAACCAGCGAGGTCTTTCAAGTGGTTTTCAATAGAATCGTAGGGTTTTATTTCGAAAATATTCCCTGCTTCATCTGACAAGTGCCTGCGCACTTTTTCCGTTGCCTGTTGGGGGTCGACAAACAGCACTAACCGCGAATCCGATGATACAATTACATAGGAGAAAAACACAGGGTTAAATTCTATATCGGAACCTCTAAGATTGAGGAACCACGCAATCTGATCCAGCGCGGTCAAAACCAAATACTTGGCGTTTTCCTCCCGCATGGAGCCCACCACTTCTTTCAGCTTTTCACCCACTGGTTTACCAGAAAACAGGAGCGGGAGGGGTTCAATGGGGTTCAAGGATCGTTTTGGTCTGTCATCCCATAACAACTCCACCAGGTTAGCATTGACAGGGATCAGTTTGTGGCCTACGGTCTCTAGTTCTTTTTTCAAGTTAACAAAGTTATCGTAGGTGATAAGCTTGGGGTCGACGCCCACTCGCGAGCCTGATGGTAGGTTCTTAACTAGCCAGGAGGCTTGTTTGGGAGTGTTTGGATCACCTTCTTTCATTAGCAACCAGTTAGAATCCATCTGCTTAGACGCCTGGAGGTAGTAACGGCCGTCGGTCCACATCAGTGCCTTGTTTTGCGTGATAAGCGCCGTACCCGCAGAACCATCAAATCCCGATATAAACGACCTCAATTTATCACATTCCGCCAAATATTCACTATTGTGGGCGTCAATGGACGGGACTATATACGCCTGAATCGATTCGTTGGCGTATTTTGCATTTTGCATCAAATTCCGCAACTGCTTCAGTAAGTTGGTAGTTACTTTGGGGCCCGACATTGCTTTCGACTTGAATGCGATTCACGAGTAATTAAACGCAAACATAACAGTGACAACACGATATGGATAATACCAAATCCGCAAATCTCATAAGACTTTTTAAAGATCACCTTATCTTTAAAAAAATAGACTTTTTTCAAAAAGTTCAGACCACAGAACTGCCACACAAATTGAGGTTACAAGTTTTTTATGTACTCTGCGTTACAAATTCAATCAATCATCCTCAACCCAAAAATTGTTTGACTTAGTCCAAATTACTCCTTATTTTTCGACTTTAGCTTCAAATTTTTTGGCGTGGTTTTTAACTTGCGCATAGAGAGCTATCCTATGGATCGATCTAATTTTCATAAGCATAAAACGTGAAAAATATTTCAGTCTAGTGTTCATGGAGTAAAGAAATATGACGGTTACATTAGCAATGACACCGTATTCTTACGGCATTTGCGGGTGTCATTATTATGACGTAGTCGTCATCTTTCTGAATTTCGAGAATAATATATTTTCCCTGTGGTTTTGATATATTGCAAGAACTCTCTTTGGTAGTTATAATTCGACGGTGTGTTCTATAAATCTGGTGCAATGATATAGCTTCTAGAGATATAGAAAACCGATAATTCAGATTATATGAAAAAAATTGTGAGAAGGTCCATTTAAAAAGTGCATGTGCGAAATTTAAATTATCTTGTGCTGTATAATATATATATATATATATATATATATATATATATATATATATATATATATATATATATATATATATATATATATATATATATATATATATATATATATATATATATATATATATATATATATATATATATTTACATCCGTAATGATATAGCTCGTTCACATGTGGCGCAGCAATAGGTCTTCTCCCAGAAGGAGAGTGTATATTTAAATTTTTTGCGCGTATACTGGATAATTGGGAACTATACAAACGTGTTCTGCAAAATAATTGACTATTTATTTTTTCAATTTTCACATATTTTCCAGCGGATGCGTCTTCCTTATCCAATACAGTCAAGAATCCTCCTCATGTATAAATGGATTACATATTACGCAATATTGGTCTTCCGAGTATATTTAAATATTACAGATTACGGTGGATAAGTTCACCACCCGCGTTGCCAAATGTCTCAGAATTTGGAACCGTTTATTAGAGCGTCGAAGGCGGTTACTTCTGTTTGAAGCTGTGTGTGTCCTTTAATTTTCACGTGTTTTTACGGTTATGTGCATGTTTCGTAGTAGGAAAATTGTTAGGTAAGTAATTAAAATTTGAGATTGTGATCTCCATTTAGGCATTGCAAATTTGCTATTTTTTGTTGAATGATTTTTATTAAGTAAAAAACATTAATGGGATACTTATTTCAGCATGGCGCGAAGGTTATTTCCTGAAGAATACGCAAGTATTACATTATTGTTAAATATCCATATCTAAATATAACTTTTTATAGTATGCAGTTTGTGGTGCAAACTCAATAAAGAAAAAAAATAGGTGGTTTTGTAACAAACCCCTGGACAAACCATCACCTCTGACACCGAATGCCGTTTCAAAAGATCTAAACACAAATGATTTTGAAAGTGTAAGTGTACGTTTTGAAGAGATAGGAAATTGCAGATATTTTTATAAATTCGTATTTAAAAGTTTTTGAAAATATTGTTAGATTTAGAAACAATTAAGAAGTTTTAGTAACTATTTAAATATTCTTAAACATTCTCATCGATTGTTTAAAACCACATCTCATAGTGAAACGCAAGTGAACGTTGAATACGTTCTTCCACTATAGCTTCTAATTTTCAGATAAAATTTTAAGGATGGATATTGCTTTGCTTTCTCTTCCAACACACAGTATGTTTTTATTTATATTTGCGTCTAAGCGATTACTTTTGCTATAGTGTGAAGAAATTAGATTATCAAACCAGCAACCAGTGCAGGATTTTGGAGCTTCATTTTCATTTAAGGCAAACATCAATGACGTAAGTTGCCCTATTCGTAAATTTATTATATATATTCAAAAAGGAATATGTTTTTAGGAAAACGAATCCTCTTCTAATTCTTTGCCTTCAAATAATTCCAAAGCAGTTCCAGAATATCTTCCTAGAGATAATGAGTCGGTTAGTAACTTATGCTACTTGAAAAACAAAAGGCATGAAATGATATAAATTCTTAAAATCTCTACAAATTTTACTTAAAAACTAAGTTACCATCTTCGGAGGAAGATTTATGATATGTTCAACCTTATATAATTAATCTGTTCAGACTTATGTTTCTCCGCTTTTGTTAAAATGGAAACATTTTTTAATGTAATAGGCGCCTTGATTCATTTCTCTACAATAAATAAGCCACGTTGGAGAGCGTTTACTAGAAATAGGCTAAAGGTTTCCCTTTAAAATACTCAGTAGACAGAGAGCGATAAGAAAATACTGGGAACAATTTTTAATTTGACGTATGAATTTTTTGACTTTTATTGTAGTTTTCTAATAGACCACATCAATTCTCGTAGATGAAATTTTCCTTTTTGCTGGGATATCTAATAAATTTTCTATAATTTCACTAAAATAATTTCACCAAATCCTTCATCTGCGTGAATATTCTCAGAGTGATTATAAATATTCACCAAACTAGCCTGCATACCCTGCTTCCCCGGAGTAATCTGTTACGTTAGATTATTCTGCACTAAAGAACGTTTTCCTACATCTTTTACAAACAATCAGTTTTATTTAATATTTAAATATTGAAGAATATTGACGTGGAATATTAAGGTTTATTTATACTAATGCTTGATTAGAAACATGAAATTTGATAGCGCAACATAGTTTCGAGATAGTGGTCGGTAATGAACGCAGAGGTGGGAATTTGTATGTAATTTTGCTCTTCTTGTCTCCAACTAAAATCTGACTAATTTGTCAATTTGTTTTTGAAGCCACAAGAATCGAATGATTTATGGTGGTACTATAAATTGTCGAATAAATAATATTCATAGTTATTCAATCATACAAAATCAATAACAATCAATATAAAAGTATAAAAAGTATAAAAAGGAACGTCTGAACAAATTAATTGGAAAAATAAAATTTTCAATAAAGTAAAAAAAATATTTGCAGTATAAAATAAAACCATCCCACGCAATTCATGGTAACCTATAACCCAAGTATCTTCATTTTAGAAAATCTTATGTATTTAATGAAAATACCAGCTCTTTCGGTCCTAAACTAATTTTTACCAAATTTTTAGGCAGCATTAGTAATAATAAGTTGTAAGAAAAATCAAATGAATGATTTTTCAGGAAATATTTTCTAACGTTAGTTCCCCTTTAATCTGCTGCACGCCACCCGAGAGTCCCTTAATCTGCGAAGATTTGAATTTAGATAAGGATATTAGCAATACGACTCCAACTACTGTAACAACTTCTAAAAAAAAATCTAAAAAAAGTACGTTTTGTTATTATTGCGAGACGGAGGTCTTAAATTTTCCTAGACATACGGAAAGAAACCATAAATCTGAAATTGATGTACAAAAAATATTATCACTGGATAAGCAAAGCAAAGACAGAAAAAAATTACTCTTTGCTTTAAGAAAGAAAGGAAATTACCTGCAGAGTAGTACCGATATCAGTAAACCAGTTAGAAAAGGTAATGAAGATACAAATTATTTACCATGCGTACATCGCCTAGGATATTATTATTCGTCTAAAAATTTATGGAGACACCGCAAAAATTGCAGCGAAAATCCAAATAAAGGATACTCTATGAGAAATTCTCAGGCTGAAGCTCAAAACTTTCTAATTCGGAATTTAAAAGTGGACTCTCAACTAAAAATTAATGTTTTCCCAAGAATGAGGGCCGATAAGATATCGCACCTCTTTGAGGCCCTTAAACCGGATAACTACGATATTTTAGTCTCGGCAACTAAAGCTGCATCTCGATTTGACAAGGATTCCAAAACATATCGAGCTCCAACATTTGCATTAAATATGGGCACTACATTGAAACAGTGTTGCGATATCGCACTAGTATACAGCTTTAAAAAATCTGATTACCTTGCATCTACATATTCTGCAACACAAGAGGCTGACCTTAAAACTCTAATACAGTTAATAAATGGTAACTGGAAATTTGATGTTTCCAACCAAGCTTCTAGTGATCTTAATATAAATAAATGGAATAAAGTCACTCTAGTACCCCTTGCCACTGATCTTAAACTACTAAAAGATTACTTGATAAAAAAAGCTGATGATGCACTCTACAAATTGCAAGAAAACTCCAGTGATGAAAAATCATATACTACTTTAATAGAAACCATCTACTGCAGAATAATTTTACTGAATAGACGACGTCCGGGAGAGTTGCAGAGACTTTTAGTAAACACTTACAAATCAATAATTCATCATGAGAATTCTCAGGCATATGAAGAATTTGGCGAAGTTATTTCAGAAACTGAAAAAATTCTAATGAGCAGTTTTAAGCGTATTGTCATAAGAGGTAAAAGGGGAAGGGGAGTGCCAATATTAATTAGCAAGGATGTACAAGAACACTTAAACATGGTTTTAAGGTGTAGAAGTAAGATTCTGAAAATGTCCAATATTTACTTATTCGCAAATCCTAAGTCATCTGAGCCAATTGTGGGTTATAAAGCATTAAGAAAACACGCTTCACTCTGTGGAGCTAAAAACCCGGATGCTCTAACCTGTACCCGACTTCGAAAACATTTGGCAACTTTAACTCAATTATTTAACATGTCTGAAAACGACATGGAGCAATTGGCCTCATTTATGGGTCACACTTTGGGTATACATCGACAGTCGTATCGCCTACCCGACGATATTTATCAAACTTCTAGAATTTCCAAATTACTTATACTTATGGAAAATGGTGAAGCTGGTCATTTTAAAGGCAAATCGCTAGATGAGATTGAGATAAATTTGGAAGAAAATTTAATGGATATGTCTGATAAACCAAAATCAAAAGAAAATGAGCATGGAATCGAAAATTGGGAGGCTACTGAAAAACAAAATGACGAGACACATCTAGACACGTCAAATGCGCAGGATCTACTTGGAAATTCTGAAAAAAGTAAGCTGGATTCGGACAGTATTCAAAAACCAAAAATTCGAAAGCTAGTTCCATGGACAACAGAGCAGAAAAATTTAGTTATGAATTTTTTTAAAGGTCACATTAAAATGAAATGTCCTCCTAAAAAAGGTGAATGTCTAAATCTTATTTCTTGAAATCCTAAAATTCTGCACAATAAAAACTGGTTAAAAATAAAGGTTTTCATTCAGAATCAATATACAAAAAAGTAATCTATAAACCCATTAATTTAGAGGAATTTTTCATTTCAACAGTACTTATGTTAAGTTCTGCAATTTTTTTAATATATGGCCTCAGTTTAACTATTCTCTCGGTATATTGTATATGTGTTGTATTTGGATTATATGGCATATTATAGGTACTTTTATTATATACCATACCCTAGCCACCAAAAAATCCAAAAGGATATCTGTATTTTATTTTTTATTGTGTTACAAAGACAAACAAATTCTAAATAAAGATTCGTTTATTTTCGATGTTAGTTCATTTTATTTCGTCTCTAAACTTTAAATAACAATATACCTACCAATAAAAATTTGAAAAAATGTAAATAACAAATACAAAAGATGTATATTTAAGTATACCACGTCAAACAGTGTTGTCACTTTTATGGAGGAGTAACATACTGTAAAACGACAATTTTGTATACATGGGAGGACCTATTCACCGAAGTGTAGTTATAACATATACGCATGAAAATATACGAGTGCCGCTAGCGACGATCGTCGAGGTGTCAAACCGCTGAACTAATATATACAAAATAGCCGAAAAACAGCTAAAACTCATCCCTCTCAAATTTTGGTAGACGAACCAGATCGATGTTTCGGTTGTTTTAACGTAGGATGCGTTAGGTCTTCCGTATACGGAGGACTTAACGCAACCGGAGGAGCTATTCAATGTAAAAGGTCTATTGAAGGAAGACTTAACCACCGTAGTATGTATATATATATATATATATATATATATATATATATATATATATATATATATATATATATATATATATATATATATATATATATATTCGAAGTGTTTTCGGAGCGCGAGCATTGAAGTGAGATTTTGGCGAAACGTCTGCAGGTTTCCAGTCGGATGCAGGATTTGCAGGATTCCAGTCGGAGTTCAACGAGCGAACGGATATATATATATATATATATATATATATATATATATATATATATATATATATATATATATATATATATATAATTTTTTAAACAACGGCTTTCCACCCTTAATTCCTGTTTTGCCTGAAAATTTAATGGAATTTCGATATATTTTGAGAAAATACGGACGCAAAAATGCAGCATCCAAACACTGACGACCTGGCAGTGGCCATGTTGGTTGTTGGAAGTAGAGTTGTGTCAATGGCGATTAATTCGGTCACTTTGATTCAATCACTTCATAGTATCAAACGACCGAATCCCGCTTGTTCGTAACAGTTCGATCACCTTGTTCGCTCTCGCTGTCGCCCTGACCGGTTTAAAGTGACCGACTACAGAACGACCCATTGATTGACCGTACCAAAACAAATCGAATTCGCCGTGCGGAATACGTTTTATTTGAATGGTTTAAGATTTAAATGCATGACTGAGACAGGCCACGGAAGAGGGATGGGAATATTGTTATAATTTTTCTCTAGCATTGACTTGCGACATCGATCGGTAGATTTGTTTATGTGTTGAATTGAATATTAAATGAAATATTCAGTTCCACACAGGTATTTCATTTAAACAAATTAATGTATTACTCGTACAACCCAATACGTAGTACCTATTTTCATAAAATCATGATGCAATAAAAAGCAGAACACAGATAAATATTATACTAACTAAAACAGCAAACAGAACACATAGACACAACACACAACTGAATCTGAATCGGTCGTTCGGACTGTTCGGATTCAGTGACTATTGCCGCTTCTGTTGGCAACAAAAAGTATTGAAATGAATGGTTGATTAAAATAATTCGGCCCTTTACGGAATCGGCAACTGATTGATTCGGTTCTCGTTAAAAGAAAGATTGACACAACACTAGCTTCAAAAAAATTTCAAATCTTGGACATGCGCATATTCAACAGATCTAGAAATTTTGAGACACTTCACGAGTTCCTGTATTATTAGCATAGGCAGGGCCTCTAATCGTCTAGTTGCTATATGCATGCGACGAAAATTATTACCTTCTCTACGAAAATATCAATGCCGATTGCGGTGCAACAATTTTTACCGCAGTACGGCCACCATATTATCTAATAACTATATGATTGGACCTAATTCAATTCAATATTGCGTTTCACAGATAGCTGATTGGACCTAATAAAATCCCAATTTTGAATCAATTCAATATTGCGTTTCAAAGTATTGGTTGGTCAAAGTTGTTAGGATCATTCGTCCACTCCCGACTTCCGGGATGCAGGCCAGATGGGTCGGATATCCCGTATGAGATAATTGCTGGAGCCATTCGTCATTTTGTATGTCAAAACACCTAGAGGATGATGGAGCTTTCCAGACCCTTTATTTATGAAGTCATCCTTTAGGAATTTTGGAATATAGTTATCTGTTGTTGGAAGCTGGCCGAACGACCTTATGGAATTATGGCCATTAAAAGTAATAAACTAGCTATGATAGGTTAGGTTGGTTAAGCCGAAAATGTTCCCCAAAAATTTGTCGGGACGCTTCGTAAGGTTGCTGCTGTACAAAAAATACTCAATTTATGCATGTTGTTATTCCACTGATGCGCTCAAGACTTCAGAAGTCACTGTACATTTTCCCAACGGGTGAGAACTTGTCTAGGTTATGTAGACCATTGTTTATATCAAATTTTCAGCCGAAATTTGAACTTGTCCACCGGAAAGTACGCCAAACTTGCCGACGGATGCGCCATTGGCACCGTAGGAGACACTTCAGTAATGGTTACAGTGGTTTCCAAAACAAAACCGAGTCCCGGTAATTTCCTGCCATTGGTGGTCGATTATAGGCAGAAATCGGCTGCTGCAGGTCGCATTCCCACCAACTTCTTCCGGAGAGAACTGGGCCCGACGGAAAGGGAAATTTTAACGTCTCGGCTGATAGACAGAAGCTTGCGACCATTGTTTAACGATAACTATCGCTATGAGATGCAGATAGTGTGTAACATGCTGGCGGTGGACGGTGTAAATAATCCAGACGTGATTTCTATAAACGCGGCGTCTGCGGCCCTCGCGTTAAGCGATATACCCTGGAATGGTCCGGTCGGCGCAGTAAGGTTAGGTATGATCGGTAATGATATCATATTGAACCCAACTAGGAAGGAACTGCAAGAGTCTGACTTGAATTTGGTCATTTCGGCGACGAAAAGGAACTCAATTGTCATGTTGGAAGGTTTGGGAGTTTTCCGTAGTAATTTTCACAGGTGGTCTGATGTTTTGCTAATCATTTTCAGGCAGTGCCAATAACATTTTGTTGCCCGACCTACAGAAAGCAATCAAGCAGGGCACCAAAGAGGCGCAGCATATAATTACTGCAATTGAAAGTTTGCAGAAACAGTTTGGTAAGTCGAAAAGAATAGTCGAGCCTGCAGCAGAGCTGAGCTTAGAGATAAGCGAAGCTTTCAGGTCATTGAGTGAGATGCGAGTGCGCGAAATATTGCAAAACTCGGCCTTGGACAAGATCGCGCGGGACGAGGCACTCAGTGAAGTGCGTGTGAACGTTTTAGATCAAATTAGACAGAGTTACCCAGATGTAGACGTGAATTTGGCCGCCGATGGTTATAATTCGACTGTTAAGAGTGTGTTTCGTGATTTACTGTTTGAGAATGATAAAAGGTGCGATGGCAGAGAATTGGATGAACTGAGACCAATTTCGTGCTCTATCAACTTGTATAAGCCGCTACATGGATCGGCGGTGTTCCAAAGGGGACAAACCCAAGTGTTTTGCACAGTTACCTTGGACTCTCACGAGAGCTCTCTGAAGTTGGATCCTTTGAGTATGGTGACGAGGTAAGAGATATGCCAAATGTTTTTGCCACTCAAGTTAAGGAAGATTATTTTGGAGTAGTTTGTTTTATTTTATTAACTAATGCAGTTAAGAATGGAATAGAGAATTTATGTTATTTATTAAAAACAATACTACATGAAAATAAACGCGAGAGTGTGGGAGAATTATTTCAGAGCTCCTTACAATCAAATCAAACACCTGTTAACTGATGCGTGTGTGGTCTAATTTTGACTGGAATTACTTTTTGAAATCTATTTTTGCTCTATGTATTTATGTTTACTTACTTACTTGCACTTTAGTGCCCTCTATCAAATGATGCAATGGGCAATAGAAGGGTTTGTGAGAAAAAAATGTGTCACCTAATAAATCGCTATTATAGTACTGGAGCTCTACAAAATGTCTATGAATTTAATTTTAAAACTATATTATTATTATTTAGATTATATTGTATATTGTATGCCAGTGGTAGGCTAAAAAATATTTGACGTCGCAGACCAGAGATTATCTTCTTGCTTAACCTTGGTTCAATTCTTCCAAAGCATCCATAACAGGTTTCGTCTTCGTTTGAAATCTTGAGATTGAGTTTTTTTAGCATCCCTGGCATTAAGTTCATTTTGTTTCAATTTCAGTTTGTTTTTGTTCGTTCCGTCAGTTTGGCATGTTTTATTAAAATGCAACAATAACCCAAAACGTTGCGATCTGTCGATAAAGTCTTAAAACCGATTCGAATCAATTAAAAAAAATCGTCAACCGAATTTAACGAGGGGGTTATATTTAAGTGGCGTGAAAGAGAAGAATTTCTTTCTTCACTATGAGTTCCCGCCGTTCGCGACCAAAGAGGTCGGGAGAATGGGGCCAATCGGGCGCAGGGAAATGGGCCACGGCGCTCTCGCCGAGAAGGGCTTAATGTCCGTCATTCCTTCCGATTTTCCTTTTACCATAAGATTGACGTCAGAAGTTCTGGAGTCTAACGGTAAGACAATTTCACTGATGCGGTTTTGTAATGGATCCGAAACGTTGTGTAGGTTCCAGTTCGATGGCCAGTGTTTGCGGCGGCAGTTTGGCATTGATGGATGCCGGAGTGCCCATTCAAGCGCCGGCGGCCGGCGTCGCTATAGGTTTGGTGACGCGTTACGACCACGCTAACCAAACCATCGAAGATTATAGACTATTGACCGATATCCTTGGAATCGAAGATTATATGGGAGATATGGACTTTAAAGGTATCTTTGTGACCAAGCGCTTCCGATGAAACATAACCTCAATTTTAGTGGCGGGCACAAAGAAAGGTGTGACGGCGTTGCAGGCGGACGTGAAGGTGCCCGGATTGCCGTTGAAAATCGTCATGGAGGCTTTAGAGAAAGCGACGAACGCGAAGGTTCAAATTATAGGGATAATGAACGATTGCATAGATAAGCCGCGCAAGGAGCAGAAGGACAACAGGCCTGTGTGTGAAAAATTGGAGGTGGAGCCGCACAAACGTGCCAGACTGCTGGGCGTGGGCGGTATAAACTTGAAGAAATTGTTTGCGGAGACCGGGGTGCAGGTGACTATAATAATAATAATATCTTTATTATTCCACATATTTAGAACCATTGTATTATAGATTTCGTCAAGTAGGTCAAAATTAGGTACACAATGTAGGCAGAAAACTACTTAAAAAAATTTATATAAAAAAAACAAACATTAATGAGTAAAACATTCCTTTAAATTATAAGAACAGTGTGTTAGGAGAAAAAATTTTTGTGAGGATTTAAAAATGTTTATATTACTACTGCTTTGTAGCTTCCGGGAAAGTTTGTTCTAGGCTCTAACACAGGTGTTCTTAAAATATTTTCTATTTTTTTATGGAGAAATAGTCTTTGTTATGTATATTATAGTTGTGAAAATCTAAGTTTTCTCGTAAGTTATTTTTTGTATACACCCATAAACAAACTTCTAATATGTACATACAAGTTAAATTAAGTATTTTAAGCTTCCTGAAGAGGGGCCTGCGCGAAGTATCCGTCGACACTCCAGCTTTAGGACTTATTCAAACTCTTGACTGGAACCGTCGGCACTGTACTAACACACAATAACGCGTTTTACCACAAACCGAAACTCAATTTTACGTACTCGACGCGCGTTTCGCCAACCAAGTTGGCATCTTCAGGAGAAGATTAAAACTAAACTTAGAACAAATGTTTTCTATATATATACACATCGGGAAGTGGGAAAAACAATGAGACCTATTGTCTCAGCTATAGGTTCTCTAACATATAATATTTCAAAGTGGTTGGTTGCAGAACTTGGAAATTTAAAACATCAGAAAGAAAGTTTTTCTGTAAAAAACTCGCAAGAGTTTATTGGTAAAATCAAAGATGTAAGGCTAAATGAACATGAACTTTTAGTATCTTTTAATGTCTCCTCATTATTTCCAAGCGTTCCTATACCAGAAACTTTGGAATAATTCAGGAAATTACTCTAATATAATAACTACAGTAAAGATATAATTGAAGAGCTAATCACTTTGACAAAGCTTTGCATGAGTCAAAATATTTTTCTATATAATAACAACTATTATGAACAACAAAATGGCACGGCCATGGGAAATTGTTTATCTCCTTTCCTGGCTGAATTTTTCGTGCATCATTTTGAACATAATTCTAAAGAAAATTTCGAGTACTTTCCTAGGATATGGTATAGATACGCGATGTTTTCGCGGTTTTTGATACACTTGCATGGATTTAAATGATTTTGTTTCAAACTTGAATAATTACTTCCCATCTATTAAATTCATATATGAAATAGAAAGTAACATGCAGTTGCCTTTTTTGGACGTTCTCGTCATCAAAAACAGTGAAAATGATTAGGTTTTGACATTTCTAGGAAAGACACTAGTACTTTAAGATACATAACCAATGATTCTAACCCTGCTTTTCAACATAAAATGGCAAGTTTTAATTTTCTAGTCCATAGACTTGTCACATTTCCTTTAAATCAAGAAAGGTTTGAGGTGGAAAAAAGCCTTATAAAAAAGGTGGCTAGAATCAATGGCTATGAAGATAGTTTTATCGATAAGTTAATTAGGAAATTTAGATTTAAAAACAAAACTTCAAAAATCAACGACTTTTCAAGCTGATAAGGAAAATTTAAAAGTAGTCTCAATTCCTTTCTCTCCCCAATATACAAGTGGACTTGATAGAGTCTTCAGGGCCGCATGTCTTCGAAGTGTCTATCAGTCCGGATCAAAATTAAAAAATCTCTTGGGTAATCCCAAGGATAAACTAGATACCCTTGAAAAGTCGGGAATTTATGAAATATGTTGTAATGATTGTGACAAGTCATATGTATGGCAAACCAAAAGATCAATTAATGTTAGATTTAAGGAACATTTAGCTCATTTAAAATTTGCTAGATTAGAAAAATCAAGTGTAGCCGAACATATGTTCAACAATAATCATAAGGTAGATATAGGTAATTTAAAATTAGTTAAACATGTAAATAATAGTAGAAAATTAGATGCCTACGAAAGCTTAGACATTGTTAAGAGAGGGAATAAGGCACTGAACAAGGACAGAGGTCTAATCCCATTTAGCCCATTATACGCGCTGATTGGTTGCGTGAACAGTGCGTAATTCCCCCTCCCACTTCCCGATGTATATATATATATATATATATATATATATATATATATATATATATATATATATATATATATATATATATATATATATATATATATATATATATAACATTTGTTCTATTAAGTTTAGTTTTAATCTTCTCCTGAAGATGCCAACTTGGTTGGCGAAAGGCACGTCGAGTACGTAAAATTGAGTTTCGGTTTGTGGTAAAACGCGTTATTGTGCTTTAGGACTTAGACTTTGGAATTTAAAAACGGATATCGCATGGAACTTCCCCAAAAGGGAATACCTAGTAATCTCGAATGGATGTGAGCATAGTAGAAATTTATTATGCATTTCCTATTCAAAACAATCTTTAATATTTTTATTAGCATTGAGTTTCCCAAGATAGGGTTTCCTCGAGTTCTGGTCCAAAAAATTTAGCATGCTTCTTTATTTCCACTGCCAAGTGGACATTCACAGAAAGGTACTTTTTTTGTTTTGTAGGCATTTGAATATCAGAACACTTGTTTTTTGAACATTCAAAAATAGTTCGCTGGTGTTAAACCAGATATTTAGCAGTAGAATTGCTGAATTAATTCTGTTTTCACGAGTTTGATAACTCTGAGAAACCCAAATTAGGCAGGTGAGCAGAAAGTTCATTGATAAAAAGGATAAATAAAACAGGGCCAAGTACTGTCCCTTGCGGTGCGCTTCTATCAACCGATTGGACTTGAGATTTTTTAATTTGAAACAAGTTGCCCTTTTGCCTTATTTAAACGTACTGCCTATGGTTTGTTAGGAAGGATCTAAACCACTTCAGAGCCATTCCGCGAATTCCATATTGTTCCATCCTATTCAAAGAATTTCGTGGTTCGTACAGTCAAACGCCCGTTTTATTTACTTATTTTACTAATTTTAAGAAGAGTGTGGGAGTCATGTTTTTGGTCAAAATGATGTATTAGTTAATAAAGTTTAGACAGTATCTTTTAAAATCCGTGTTTTTTTAGTATCCCTACGTTATTTGAATAAAAGTTCTAAGCTGGCCGAATTGACACTTGTGGCTTTGGCCAAATAAAATGTATGTTAGAAGCAATGTTAATCTTTCAGCCAACAGTCAATTGAACGATGGAAGCGAGGTTTTGTGTTTGTTCTCGCGTTTTACAGGTTTCTCAAATAGAAGACACGACGTTTCAAATATTCGCGCCGAATCAAAATGCCATGGACGAAGCGAAGGAAATGATCAACACAATTTTGACGTCGGAACGCGCTCCGGAGCTGGAGTTTGGCGAGATTTACAAGGCCAAAATTGTCGAAGTCAGGGATATAGGGGTGATGGTTACTCTTTACCCGGGCATGCCTCCCGCGTTAGTACATAATTCGCAGCTTGATCAACGAAAGGTGTGATATTTGTGGGTGGGGGTAGGTTTAAGTATGATTGTTTATTTTTTGGTTCCGGTTGTAGGTGGCTCATCCCTCGGCGTTGGGGTTGGACGTGGGTCAAGAGATCCAGGTAAAATTTTTCGGCAGGGATCCAGTTTCCGGACTGATGAGGTTGTCCAGGAAAGTGTTATCTGCCGCTAGGTAGCGGGACATTTCCATGTACAGAGACTCTTTTTCTATATAAATCTTTTTCGCGAAATCTTACGTTATATGGTGTCTTTAAAAATTTGTTTTTATCTATAAGCGGTAATAAAACGATATTTGTAAATGTGGCGTTTTTTTATTAAATAAAAACCCAAAAAAATAATTTGGGTGTGCGAGAGTTTTTCCTTATTTTATTCAACCGTTTATATTTTTTTTAAGAAAGGAACTAGCACCGACAAAATCGATAAACAAATTTGGCTTTTTCATAATACTATGGGTACGAAAAGTCGGCCATTAATTAGACCATTCACTGCTAAAATTAATAAATAATATAAAGATTACTAACAGATTACAGATTATTAACTGAAACCTAATTAACGCAGCAAAAAAATTCCATTACTTTGCACACTCGTGGAAAACAGTTTTGGTAAGTGTGATGTATTGACATGGAACGCGCAGCTACAGGTTAATCACTAAATACATTTATATAGTTCTCGAAGGTACCCAAAGCCCGAACAAATATTCCCAGCCTCGAGCCTAGGTTATGAGGTACTAGATGCTTGCATTACATTCAGTGACATAGTGTTCAAAAGAAAAAAAATCAAATTGCTCCGCACCACAATCATAAGCAAAATCCTAATTATATACTCGCGATTATTAAACAAAATAAGTTTCATCACCCCCACCGGAAACGACACGAAAAACAAACGAGGCGTTAGCGTTTGTAATTAGTGCGAATTCGCTCTGCCGCCCTCTATACTCCAATGGAACATTAGGGTCGATCAATCACGGGTGTCGGAGAGACGATGTCAAAAAAAGCAAAACAAATATCTTAATTGCGTGCTAGCCTAATACAAAAACCCGATTTACGATTAATTTCGGCAGATTGCCGGTGGGGGCGGGGTGGGGGGGATCGTTTCTGCTATTTCGGCGTCTCTCCCCATTAGCCACCGTCGTTCTCATTTCATAGGCTTATAGATCGTGCACCGGCGAAACGCCGCTTCTTGTTTTTTTTAGTGACTCTATTAGTGACCCTGGCACACTGCCCCAACGCTCTGAGAAAGTTAAAGACCAAGAAAAAGAACTTGACACTAACCTAGAATATACAGGAAATACTGCCTTAAAAATACCGCACCTGAACTTATTGACGATCTGTCAGCGGCTATGTTGGTTATTGCATCCCGCAAGGTCATTGGTTAAAAACGAGATTTAAAATCTCGGGTATGCGCACGTTGGCATGCTTATATTGACAAGTTACTAACTTTATATGATACATTATTGTAATTTATATAAAAATAGCTGTATTTTCCAAAAAATGAATACAATTATTTTGTATTTTAAATAGTTCTTATGTGTTTATATATTTTTTTAAAGCCAATAACAAACCAAATAAATAAATAAAAATTTTACTTTAGATAAAAATTTGTTTTAGAAGAAAACTTACTACTTACAGACCAGTTTTCACCTTTTCGATAATTATAAATACAAAGACAAACGGGGTCTAAATATTGAAAATTTCCAAAATCACCTGTATCTAAAAATCTAAGATAGCTATGACATATCTGTTTGTATTAACCCTGTTAATACATAAACATAAAAATAAGTCTATGGTTTCCTTTATCCTCTATCGCATAAACGAACCCTAATTGGAAGTGGTCGTTTGGGATTCGCCGTAAACTCGATCTAAACTGGAAGAGTTCCAGTATCCGGTAATGCAGCCAATAGCCAATACCGACTTTATGAGGCAAATTTTATTAAGAGAGAGATCGGTAGTAATGGGGATTCTTCTCTTTGTGGTATCTACACCTTTATACTAACGATCGAGGTGTAATAAGAAATTGTTTTATATTATTTCTCAATTTTTCTACCTGTCTGCATTCTTGAGGGTAAATCGTTTGTCAGAGGGTACTTTGAGATATCTTTGTAATTGTTCATCATTTTTTGATACGAAACAAATTTCAGTTAATTATTTTAATAATTGTTTGAAGTCGATCGAAAAAAAATCCGAAATAAAGCGTTTTCGAAATTTTCGAACTTTTTTCTTTTATCATGCTGAGGAATGTGTCCCTAAGTTGGGGCTCGTGTAACACATTAACACCCATTGGCATATTATGATATAATATATAAATTCAATAAATAAATGTATATGATTATTGAATTGAGGTGGCTTTTACTTGATGAAAATCGATTTAACAAAATAAATAAGAACTAAAAGTTCAGATTTTCACGAAATTATATATTTTCACATGATAATTGTTTCGGCAACACTGTCTCTTTATCAAATGTGATTTGATAAAGACACGGTGTTGTCGAAACAATTGTTATGTGAAAATGTATAATTTCGTGAAAATCTGAACTCTTAGTTCTTATTTATTTTGTATATGATTATCTAATATATTTTCATGTATATAACAACGAAAATTGTTTATGGGATATTGTCATTTATATAACATGATAATGTATATTTGTGCTTATGATTTGCAAATAACAAAACATTTTGGTATTCTTTAAATGTGATGCTAAACAAGGCGATATACGAGGATATCTTCTTTTATCCCTTGCATAATCTATATGATTATAAATTGATTTTTCTAACGATTTGCGGCTGATCAGGCGCGACTGCAAGACAGTGTAGGTTGGCATCTCAACCAATAGGGAACTTGCTCAAAAAATCAAATCATTTAAAAACAATTAAAATCGTAATCGTAAAATCAAAAAAAAAGGTTTAAAATTTGAATAGTTTTACATGCTATTAAATGCGCTGCCATTGGTTCTGACGTCAGACCGTTGTATTTCGATCTAGGCGCACGTATATAGACATTGACATAACAATTAAAATAAATAATATTCATTGAGAGGACGTGCTATTAGGTATTTTCAGAGAAAGTTTTGTTTAATTTTGCTTGATTTGATGTTTGCATTTAAGTAGAACACTGTTTAGAATGAGCTCTATAAACACTAGTGCTGATTTATTATCATTTATACACATAGGTACAAATTACTTTTTTGTAATACAAAATAAATACAAAAATTGAACATTTTAAAAACCTATAACCCGATACTAACTATGCAGATTTGGTAAGAAAATTTCGTGAGAATTGCTTGAAATGGCTATTATACTCGTAATGAATCGTGTAGTTTCCTGCGGTGTGACGTGACGCTGACTGCCTCGCATTTTGTTGAATATGCCCGTCGGCGACTCCAATTTTAATTATTTATTGTGAAATAAGTATTAAGATTTAAGGGTTCATATTTGGTATATGGTATATGGTATATGGACTAGCAACCCGTGTGGGGTTGCTAGTCCCCCATCGGGCGCCTCCCCAGGTGGCGGATAGGGGAATGCCTCTCAGATATGAGTGGTACCGAGGAAATGAAATACTTGGGGCGGACCAAAACTAGCACTGAGCAACGGCAGCTGGTTGTCTCAAAACTGAACACGGGCGATAGTTTGAGAAACAATATTTGGCTGTGTTTCAGACAACAGACGGCGTAGTGGCATCCACTGAAACGGCGTTTGTACAGCGGTGTAGAAGGCAAAGGAAAACCACTACACTAACCTTTTCCCAGGAAAATCTTCATGGCTGGAAACTATTCAAAAACGGCCCTCAGTCCCGGGCAGACCTTCAATGGTCAGAGGGTGCGAAGAATCTCCCGGCCAGCACTGAAAATTTGCACCTGGAATATCAGAAGTATGTTTGAGGCAGGAAAGATCTATAACACAATAAACGAAATGAACAGATTGAATATTGACGTGATGGGTATCAGTGAGATGAGATGGCCAGGAAACGGAGAATGTCAAATGGAAGATCACATAGTCTACTATGCTGGAAACAGTGAGAGACACCATTTAGGGGGTGTTGGTTTCATCATAAATAAAAAGTTGAAGTCTTCAATTATTAGCTGTCTGCCATACTGTGACAGAGTTATTTTGCTAAAGCTCAGAGAGACCTTTTAACATAAATCTCATTCAAATATATGCCCCCACATCGGACAAAAGTGAAGAAGTAGTGGAAGACTTCTATGCTCAAATAAAAGAAGTGCTTAAGAACGTTAAAGCAAGAGAGGTAAACTTAATAATGGGGGATTTCAATGCCAAAGTGGGACGCGGAAAAGAGGATGATATAGTGGGTGACTTTGGGTTGGGAAAGAGAAATGAAAGAGGAGATAGACTCGTACAGTTCTGCAGAGAAGAAAGTATGATAATAACGAACACATGGTTCAAACTCCCACCAAGACGTTTGTACACTTGGAAAGCCCCAGCGGACAAGCCAGATAACATCGTAAGAAATCAAATAGATTTTATCCTAATCAACCAGAGATTTCGAAACAGTTTAGTCTCTGTCAAATCTTACCCAGGGGCTGACGTTCCATCCGATCACACTCCCATAGTATGTGTACTAAGAGCTAAACCACGAAAAGCTCATATCACCCGAACCACACAGAATAAGAAAAAATATGACATCGACAAACTCCAAGACAAGGAAATACAACAGGCAGTGGAAAAGACAATAAGTGAAAAACTACAAAAGACACCACTAGATGATACTCAGATAGAGAGAACGTGGACAACTTTCAGGGATTCAGTGACCCAAGCTTGTGATCAACATCTGACTTCTGACAAAAATCAGCAAAAGAAGAAACAGTGGATGACCGACAAGATCTTAAAGATGATGGAGGACAGAAGGAAAGTAAAAACTACGAACACCACAGAGTATCGACAGTTTCATAACGCCATTAAAAAGGAAATTAGAGAAGCTAAAGAAAGATGGATGATTGAGCAATGTCAGGAGATAGAAGAACTTGACCGTAGGCATGACACGTTTAATATGTACAAAAAAATCAAACAAGTTACAGGCAGACATCGAAAAAGAACACCAGAAAACATTATGGATGAACAGGGGAAATTTATCTGTGAGGTGAACGAAAAACTAAAAGCATGGCAGAAATACATACTTGAACTCTTCAAACGATCAACGTCCAGTGAAACCTGAGCAAGCAAAGAATATGGAAGGGCCAGTTATATCAATGGATGAAGTTAAATTTGCCATTGAAATCGCTAAAACCAGAAAATCACCTGGTCCCGACTATATATCATCGGAAGTACTAAAGATTATGGATCAA